ACTACTGTTACGAGTTATTTTGTTTTACAGTCAACAAGGGTGGAAATCAAGTTTATTTGTTATCACATTCTGATCTTGTAGATACGTTCCTGAACTAAACTAGAACTCAAAGTAAACCAACTACACCATACAAGAGCACATGTGCGTTAGACAGGCAGCTCGATATCCAAACGCCCAATTTCGTCCTAACTGGAAACAGGAAGACAACTATACACAAGGTGCAATAGAAAGACAGTGTTCCTGTAGAAAGAAGTAGGGTTGATTATATCCTTCAGAAAGATAATTGCCATCACGCGTAACCGAAACTTTTCCACTTCGTGGTATTCGGGGCATATTAGTGTCATACTGGCTTCATATGATGCTGAAAGTGTCATGTCATGTCATGTCATGTCGTGATCATTAAAGAGTGTACGTATGGTAGTGAGATGATGAAAGGAAGGTAAGTGGTAAGAATTGTAGCGACTGGCACATTGATTGGCGGACCAAAGCAATGTATGACCGAAGACGCGCCACCCATGTAATCTTGAGGCACCTGATAACCGGGGTGGCTTGTTTATGCTCCGTCCTCTTCGCTGATGCGAATGGCACCCTCGTTACCCAGACCGTGGGACCAGAATCCGTCAACGTTGAGGGTACTAGTATAGCAGTTAGTTTGGTGCTAGACTCCAGGCCAAGTAGCAATTGATACATACATTCCAGGAGCGCCGTCGTGTGCAATAAGCAGCCAGTATCCGAGAATACCCTGCGAGAAAATATCGTAGATGGCGAAGAGGATAGTCTCGACATCAACGTTGATCTTCAGAGCCAAAGCTCCCGCAGCGAGGGCACTAGTCCATGTCAGTATACCGTTGAACGCATCTTGAGCTGAGGGAAACTTACACTGGGTACAGGAGCTTGACAAACAACATGACACCCGACAGAGTTCCGAAGAACCGCTTGGTCTGAACATCCTTGTTGCTGGCTGCCCGGCTTCCATGGACACTGATATGGTAGACCGTTGTCAGATAGCCGATTGCGCTGATAGTGAACCAGACCCATCTGCGCGAGGAATGGCCAGCATAGGTACCCAGAATACCCGAGCCCAGCATGATAAAGTCGGCCGCGATGGCGATGAGCAGGTGAGCTCCGGGCAGACCGGAGAGCAGCGACAAGCTGATGAGGCCCAAAGGCTCAGTCAAGAACCAGAGGACATAGCGGAGCCAGAGGATCTGGCGGTAGTATTCCTGCGTGGTGTTGGGGACGTGCTTGTTGTGCTCCTTGAGGATGTCGAGCTTCCAATCCATGCCTTGTCCAGTCGCCAGAGCAAGGTAGACAATAAAGGAAATGGTGCTGGCGAGAGCAACAATAACATGGAACACACGTTTATTCTAACCAGACTGAGGTTAGTTGCTTGTCTTGTAATATCATCACGATAGCTTGAGAACATACGATAGGAACCCGAGCACCTAGAACGTAGAACACGAGAGAGGAGATACCCATGAGCACGGTGACCACCCTGTGTAACTCAATATTAGCTATACTCGTCACATCTCCGTCCACAACGGTCTTACCATAGTGTCCGTTTCCCAGTGTCATGGAGCACCTGGAAGATAGGATCACTGCCGGGAACGACGGTGGGAATAGGCGCCACCGAGGAGGTGGGCGATGGCTCAGGCCAAGGGAGAGTTGGAGTCGCCTTGATGAAGGACTCGATCATGTTGATGGATTTCAACAGAACTATCGACACTGATGATGGTGTAGAGACAGTCCGATGCAAAAGGATATTGCGGGGGAAAGCAGCGTATATGAGGGGGATCGACTGGGTATTTAACGGGAACCGGGAGATCCGAGATGCAGGCTGGCCATGATCCAGTGAAGAAAAGAGGAGCAACGATTGGGATTCTTCGTTCCCCAGCGACCAGCGTCATGCTGACCTCGATGTTGTCGTCATTGAGATTCGAGAGCGACGGAGAACCAATCACGACGGATGCGACCGCGGGCTTGAGGGGGAACCGTGTAACCGGGGGGGAATTGGTGCCGTGTCCATGTTTGTCTGGAACTTGGAAAGCTGGCTGGTCAGCAGTGGTTGCATGATACGAATGCGTCTCCGCTTGAGTGAAGATGGGGAAGATGGGAAGATGGAATGGAAGATGGGAAGCTCCACTGAGACGTTGCCCTTCCTGCGGCATGACGCCATCCCTAACTCGGGCATGACTCAGCTACAAGGTACGGTTTCATCCACCTACGATGTATCCAATTTAGTGATAATGAACATATTCACCATTCGAGAACAGTATAATACTATTGTTAATACAATGTAGATGACTAACGAGAGAATACAGAGGGTACAAAGAAGACAGCTACTACTCCATAGTGACTCGTGTATAGTCCCCAGTTGAACATGGTAGTTCCTTGATCTCCAAGAAAGTCACCGAATTTTCTATCAGACGAGCTGGTTTACACAATACTTTACATCAATTGGTTTCAAGTTACGGTGTCGAATAGAAGCGATCCCGTGATATGCATAGTTAATGTCCAACAAGGTAGATCTTAGCGTGTATCATGCCTTCTTATTGCGATCTCACAGCTTCCACACAATCCCCGTTACTGCCACATCCTCATGCCACACCAACTCCCCCCTTTGATCTTGACAGTCTTCTTAAATCTGATATGCTAGTATGGTTGTTTAACTCTCCGGTCCCTTTACACACAGACATCTCCACTGTCTCCATTTGCACCTGACTTAAACCCCAGCTCCCATGATTCTCCTCGGTTTTCTTCGAGGCCACTTTTTCCTGATAGCACCATCCTGAGGGAAAGACACCGCCGTGGCTCCTGGTCCGATGACTCGGAACTCCACGCCCGACGCACGGAACCGTCCCTGCAATTCCAGTAGACGGGCATCGATGATCGGGTCTGCTTCCATCATTCGATAATTGGACCAATGACCCAGGGTACACTTTATACATCCTTGGCCGGGTGCTTGCTCTCTGACGGCGTACCGAAGATAGAGCGTCTTGAGCACAGGGACGGTCTCCGAAATGTGTACCACCAGGTTTTCGAGTTCACAGCACAAGGCCCACGAGGACTGGATCAAGCAATCATCAATATAGAGATGTTGCAGCGAGCGTGGAAGCACCTCCTGAAGAGGTATGCTAGGGTTGTAGGACCCTTTCCCGACAAATGGCAGCAAGTTACCCCACCGTATATGGACAGTTTGGAGATTAGGGAATCCGGTCAACCTCCCGAAGAAGATAGGCGTTGGGTTTTCGGCATCCTGCTCAGTCAGGTCGCTCAGAAAAGTTAAATTCAAATGATGCAACGAAGATTGAGATTGTTGTAAAGGCTGGTATAGGTGCGAGTGATTCAGGTAATCGTGCGTATGATTATCCCCCCAGTCCCCCAATTCGAGGGTAAATGACTGTAGCTTTGGGCACCTTTCCAGCAGACGAGAGAGATTAGGTAGGCCATCAGTGGATGCCAGGAGATCCAGATGGGTCAATGGGAGGACCAAGTCACTGGGCATGTCAAATTGAGTTCGATCACACGCGTTATGCACGTAAAGCTTTCGCAGCGATGGAATCCGGAGATAAGGGATCAGCCTCTTCAAGGGAATTGCGCTTTCAGTTTGCCCCAATTCCAGCAGATTTGGACCGTCGGCCAACAAGACGTGCTTTAGGTGCGTTAGAATCCCCAGTCTTGGGTTACTTGCCCAATGAATAACCCGTTCAAAGTGGACGGAACTCTTGACTAGCATATTATGCTCCAGGATACAATACTGATCCCACTCTCCGGGTAATTCAATGACGAATCTCTCAAGATTCTTGACTTGCACCATGAGCAAGGCCAGCCAGGCATCTTCATATCGTTGGGCTTTAATCCAAATCTCGCGTTCTAGATCATCTTTGAGGTCTTGGCGCCACGCTCGGAATCTGCGGCGATATTTGCGCTTAGCATCTCCGAAGGGCAGCATAAATGGGAGGAATTTTTCTTCCCCAGGTGGCTTCAGCGGAGGTCGATGTTTCCACTTTTCCTCGCCCCGGCTAGGAAAAAGCTCCAGGGAGTGGATCAAGGGAGCGAGGGTTGGATTCTCAAGCAGAGCTATTGTAAACCGACGCACAGGGAGATACTCGCTCCAACGGAAGTCACCATATTTGGCGTCAATATAATCGTTCAGGGGAAGCACGACATGTTGATATAGGTGGGGAACAAACAGGGAGTACCAATCCTTGCAAACCAGCACCAGTTGCGCATAATCCTGCCTCGTGAGAAGGGGAACAATTTGGAGAATAAGCTCCCCAGGCAGGTCGTCGAGTCCCATCCTCGATGTGCGATGTGACCTTTGATACAAAGCTGATAAGTGTGTAGCCTGGGAAGATGATTTGACCACCTCGACCGGCGCTAGTCAAGGTTCTATCACCCAGCAAAACCCCTACATACACATAGACTAACTATACAGCAAACAGACTAGCGTCCCTTATCCGATATTACATTTTCACTAGACAAAGATCGGATGTTACTTGGTACGCTGGAATGGTCATCGCATGGCGCCATCCAGGCAATGAGATAGGCAGATAGTAGTATCTTGGCTGCGCTAAATTTGCTATCTGGTCTACTCATTACCTCAAGGGCAGGCCATGTATTAAAGTCAGTGTCTCCTGGTGATAAGGAATAGCTCTCGCGCGGCAATATCTGGGGCCTAACAACTGGGTCATCTCCTCATGACTTCGGCGAGTTGTATCATTGATTTCGGTTGGCCCAATATATAATCTAAGGGTCTTGATCCGGCATTGCTCAGGCCACGCACTTTTATGTTTACACCACGCCCCAAGCTGTTCCGTGCCGCCAAGCGAACAGACAGTCGCTTGATCGATTTTCGCAGGGATCCTACCATGTACTACAGATGCCGCTAATGCTGGCGAGCCAGGGAAACCTAACCCAGATCTATGCTATTTGTTACTATTATAATATACATGCAGCACGAGCTTGTACGATTCAAATGCTAACAAGGAACTGACCACTCAGCTCGATGCATCCAACTCCTGCACCACCTCCTCGCACCGCCCACACACCGTCTCTTCCGCCGCCTCTGTCTCGGGCACCACATACCGCCAGCAGCGCGGACACTTGCTCGCCTGCGGGGTATACACATATACCGTGCCTGTCCCCCCGCTCGGCAGCTCGTACACCTCATTATACTGCCACTCCGCATTGCGGATGTCTTCCGGGATCGGCTCCTCGTGCGCCCCGAGACTGACCGACGAGACAACAAACACATCAGGCAGTTCGGACTGGAGGCGCGCGAAGACTGCATCGCTTGTAGCGTCCTTGGGAAGAACAATGTGGACGAACGATTGCAGGGAAGAGCCCATCTGCTTCTGGCCACGGGCCTTTTCTTGGATCGCCTTGACGACCGAGTTCACGGCCACGATGTCCTGGTAGTCTGCTTCCAGAGCCTGGTTCTGCCATTCGGAGGCGGGCGCGGAAACAATCCGTTTGAGCGGATGCTCGCAGTGGGCTTTGATGGCCTCGGGCGTGTGCTCCCAGGTCTCTTCTACCAACAACGGAGTGATCGGGGCAAGCACCTCTTGGAGGTGGTGATAGATGTGGAACAAGGTCGTCTGGGCAGCCCGTCTGCTGGTGCTGTTCTCCGCGTAGGTGTAAAGACGGTCCTTGATGGCTTCCATGTAGAATGCAGAAAACTCAAGATTGGCCCAGCGGTTGATGGCATTCACGGCCTTGTAGAATTCAAAGTTCTCGCAGGCCTTCTGGCAGGCCAGGACTGTGTCGGAGAGATGTTTCAACGCGATACGATCCACCTGCTGCAGCTGGTCATAAGGGAGACGATCCTCCGGACGGAAGTCGGACAAGGCACCCAACAACAACTTGAACGTCACACGGTACTTGTGCAGACTGGTATTAACCGTCTGGAGAACTTGCTTGCCAATCACAACATCCCGCGTGTAGTCGCTGCTTGCAACCCACATCCGCAGAGCATCCGGGCCAAGCGCGTCGTAGACAGGTGCCTGGTTCTCAGCCTGCTTCTTCCCCTTGCCTTTCCTGGGCTTTAGGGGCGGCAAGAGCGTTCCATCCATGATTGACTCCGGCTGGATAACGTTACCGATTGACTTGCTCATCTTGCGTCCCTCCTCATCCAGGGTGAATCCATGAGTGACGAGGTTCTTAAACGGCGCGCGAGGGGAAGCGGTCTGTCCGGAAGCGAGCTGGTGGGCAATGAAGGTGAGAAGGCCGGACTGGAACCATCCACGGTGTTGGTCGGTGCCCTCTAGGTAGACGTCTGCGGGGTATCCGCCGTCACGGTAGGGCAGGTCGATCTCGGTCCAGCTGGTGCCGCTGTCGAACCACACGTCCATGGTGTCGGTTCCGCGTCTGTAGCCGGGTCCAGAGGCATCTCGGAGAGTTGGTGGGATCCAAGCTTCGTCGTTGGCATCGTCTGTCCACCATGCGTCAATGCCACGCTCTTCGATGACGTTCATGATGTGGGACACGCTATCCTTGGTGAGCAGGGCATCGCCGGTGCCGCGGTGGTAGAGCGCCGGGATAGGGACACCCCAGGCGCGTTGACGCGAGATACACCATTCGCTGCGGTTCTTGACGAAGTTCTCCAGTCGCTGTCTTCCGGCGTTAGGCACGAAGTTGACGTCTTCCAGCGCGGTCATGGCGCTGCCACGGATGTCCGCTACGTCGGCGAACCATTGCTCTGTGGCGCGAATGATGATGGGAAGCTTGGACCGCCAGTCGTAGGGATACTTGTGCTCGTACCGGTGCTTGGTGATGAGCAGGCCTTGAGATTCGACGTATTCGAGAACAGCGGCATTTCCGTCACCCAGAACGCTCTTTCCACTGAGCCTCGTTGGATCACTGGGCATGGCCTTGTCGGTGAATTTGCCGTTGTCGTCCACGGGAGCAAATGCGGGGATACCTCGGGATAAGCAGGCTTCGTAGTCCTCCATACCGTGGCCTGGGGCGCAATGAACAAGACCGGACCCAGAGTCGGCGGTGACAAAGTCCGCGGCGATGATGGGTTGCGGCTCCGCATCGGGTCCCTTGAACAGAGATCGGTAGGTAGTTTGGTCAGCGAGCTTCGATCCAGGGATAGCCGGTACAATGACCGACAGATCCTCCTTCAGGATGCCCTCGAGATATTCCAGTCGAGACTGTGCGATGAGAAGATAGCCCTGTGTATCCGAGTCGACGATGGTGTATTCCAAAGACGGGTGAACCGAGATAGCCGCGTTTGCCGGGAGTGTCCAGGGAGTCGTAGTCCAAATAACAGCGCTGATTCCCTTATCCTTGAGCAGGGGGTCCTGTGCCAGATGCTCCGGGATGCTAGCAAGAGGGTATTTCACCAAAGCAGCCGTTGACACATGATCTTCCTTGTATTCCAGCTCGGCCTCCGCCAGCGCCGTGCCAGTAGACGGCGACCAGTAAACCGGCTTGAACCTCCGATAGATCAATCCCTTATCGACCATTTCCCGAAAAACGCCAAGTTGTCTCTTTTCGAACGCCTTGTCCATAGTCTTCCAATGGTTCTCCCAATCCGCCATGACCGCGAAGCTCCGGAATCCCTTCATCTGCGCCTTGACTGTCCGATCAGCCAATTTGCGCGCAGCCTTCCGTACCAGCGCTGCGCTAACGGGCCCGTTGTGTTCCTGTCCCTGTAGTTCCTTTTGCGCTTCCAGAGCCTTCAGCTCTATCGGCAAGCCGTGACAGTCCCATCCCGGTACGTATCGTATCCGCTTTCCAAGACCGAGCTGTATACGACAAATAATGTCTTTTAGTACTTTGTTGAGGGCATGGCCAACGTGAAGTTCGCCGTTTGCGTATGGCGGTCCATCGTGTAGGACGAACGGCTGGCTGGCTGGTCGTTCACGCTGTTGCCAGGCGTAGAGGTCGTCGGTGCATCGCTGCAGGTATTTTGTCCGATCGGCCGGCGTCACGCGTGCAGGGAACGTCGATTTCGGGAGCTTGAGCGTCGACGACCAGGACCGAGCGAGCGTCCGTGGCAGGTCCGGCATACTACCGCTGTATCATATCCCACTGTTCGAGTTTGGGGGGATTGGGCGAGAGGGTGGGTGGTGACTCTGGTTGGGGAGCGGAGATTCAAATAATGTCCACCCATCTCCGATGCGGCCGCGAAAGGTGTGTATTTGTATTACGGTAAGTTACGCAGTCAACCAATAACAACCTTTATATATGGGGGGAACTGTCATTCAATACGGAAGCCAAAATTAGATACACATAGTAAACCCGAAAAGCAACCTCTCCATAAAGCAACGTTGGCTTGAATTAGTACAATATTTCTATCGATGTATGTAATCTCCATGAATTTCATGCTTGCTAGAAGACACCAACCCGAAACTCCGGCCCACCCTTGCGAGGAAACGATCAGGTTAATAGATAGTCAAGCAGCTTACTGCGCCATTCTTCATCACCTCGAACAACAGACCAGGGAATCCGAAGAGCTCCGTATTGCCTAGTCCGCCGTCATGCGCGTCGTGGCCCGCCCTCTGCCCTTTGCCTGTGCTCTCTTCCCATCCACCGAGAAATTCGACGCTGCTCTCTGGGCTGTCGCCCCACCCTCGGTTCAAAACCATGGGCCGCTGTAAAGCCCGCTCCTCCGCAGGGCTCGCATAAGATCCCCTCCAGGTTGACCTGAGACGCTCTGACACCTCTTCGTAACGAGTCTCGGAAGTAACAAAATCATCAGGCGAACTGAAAATGATCCTCCACCGGCTGCGGCGATGACGATTGAAAGGATATGAACCCGGCACATTTCCATGTAGGATGATCTTGGTCACCACTAACTGCGAATGGGGTGGGGGTGGAGTGGGGTCTCTCTGGTCAGATTCTGGGAAGGCTGGGCCGGGCGTGGTGGGATAGGAGATGAACGCATCAAAGCCATGGTGGAAGTAGTTGAAAAAGCATTCTGACGGTAGTGACGAAGGATCCGATGCGTTTGGTTGGAAGAGTTCGTCGTCTGAATCGTCAGACACACTGTTGTTTGAAGATTGATCGATGTCAGTAACATCTATTCCTCTGCCTGGAGAAGAGCCCATGTGAAGAGCATCCTCGCCACCGCTACGGCCGGCGGCTCGATGAATAGCTATTCTCCGATCATGTTTACGGTAGATGGCATCGGGTGGCCCGAACTCGGCGACTAGGTCTTGAGGAGTGGTTTCTGACAGCGAGATAAGTGCAGGTGGGCTCGATCTTCGCACCACTTCGATCTTGCCGGCACCAAGTATGAGAAACTCCTCGATCTCATCCGGAACAGACTCTCGGCTTTTACTTGCCAATGCCGGCGAGCGCGGAAATTGCGGTTGCTGTGTGAATAGCTTGTTTCGAGATTCGGGCCAAGATGAGCCCTGGAATATGGCCATAGACGTTGCTGGCAATGCTGCTGAGGAGGAAAGCAATGCTACAAAGTCACACTGATCGGACCATGCCGAATTCTGCAAAGGGAAGGAGAATGCAACACCAGGGTACGATAGCACATAGGTGCCGTATGGTGACTGAGGGCTATCTGGAGGTATATACTCTCCCGGATAAGATGGCCCAAAGAGACGGTTGTAGACATGGCGAAAGTTGGGGCCTTGCTGTGTCACGGACTGTTCCCCCGGCTTCACACCTTTCAGTACTTCTTGGTTCTTATAAACAAGTGCAATCTTGGAGAAGTCCAGCACCTCGATCAAGCGAAGTCGCTGGTCGGGTCCATCAAAGCGTAGACGAAGACCACTCGATGGAAGTTGCAAGGTTACTGGCTTGTTCAAGGGCTCTGCAGAGGAGTACGCAATATCAATAGCGGGGTATATCTGGGGATGGGCCTTGACGCGGCTTAGGACATTGTGAAGGGAGGCTCCGAGAGCTATGCGACACCGATTAGCCATGCCCAAAAGTTAATGTGGTGACTCAACATGCTTATGAATCCCAACCCTTTCCCAGGGTAAATCTGAGCCTGCGGTGAAGGTCTGGAGGAAGTCATGTTGGGTTACGGCCGATTCTCATACTGCGGCGGCCGGCTGAGGAGGCGGTGGGTGTTAGTAGTCGGTAGTATATATATATGTCAAGAGTACAGTATGCTGGATGGGCAAAGCACCATCCCGTAGCTTAGATTTACAAAAGAGCAGCACCCTAAGCTGAATCAAGCCGATGCTTTGGAACACTGAACACTGTCTGAGAAGAGTTGCGACAGTCAGGAGGAGAAGCCGTGGGGGGAAGGCGATGAACGCATAGGATCGATCATGTGAGAGGGGGGAATGACGGGGGCCGGCACGTGGGCGGTGTGGCCGGTTTGTTTACGTTTTCCGTTTTGAGAATCCCGCATCAACATCGGTAAATACTCCAACCTCGACCTCCTTATCCGACATCCCCCACAGTCGCCGCCAACTTTGTCGCCTTATGTTGATCAATTAATTTGAGATTTTGCGGCATCATTGCTCACTGCATTGAAGCGACACGATACCTGTTACACTTTATCTTATAGTCCACTATGGCCGGCCCACAACGGCCTGCCTCTGGGCTGCCAACAAGACGTACGACAACTACAGCTACACGCCCAGCAACACGTCCATCAACGCGACGAGCGGGGTCAACGGTGCCCTCTTCGACCAGAGCCAATTCTCCAGCAGTTACTGCGAAAGCGCCCCCAAGCAGCTCGCGCGCGGTGAAATCGCCGACCGATTCATCCACCACCAGTCTTATTGCCAAGCGCAAAGAAAGAGACTATGAACGTGAAATCAACGAAGACACCAGCATCCACGTTGTGGTAAGATGCCGCGGCCGCAACGACAGGGAGATCCAAGAAAAGAGCGGAGTCGTTGTGTCAACTCCTGAAGGAGTAAAAGGCAAATGCGTTGAATTATCCATGGGCCCAAATGCCTTGGCCAACAAAGCCTACACATTTGACAAGGTCTTCTCAGCAGCTGCCGATCAGGTGACTGTATATGAAGATGTTGTGTTGCCTATAGTTAACGAAATGCTTGCTGGATACAATTGCACAATCTTCGCTTATGGACAGACGGGAACCGGAAAGACCTACACAATGTCAGGCGACATGACGGATACCCTGGGCATACTATCAGACAATGCTGGTATTATTCCGCGTGTGCTCTACTCACTCTTCCATAAGCTCCAAGAAACAGAGAGCACGGTGAAGTGTTCCTTCATCGAACTATACAATGAAGAGCTTCGCGATCTGCTAGCGTACGAGGATAACTCGAAACTCAAAATCTATGAAAACGAGTCGAAGAAGGGCCATGGGAGCACGCTTGTTCAGGGTATGGAGGAAACATTCATCGACTCAGCGTCGGCTGGAATAAAGCTGCTCCAGGAGGGAAGTCACAAGCGGCAAGTAGCAGCAACAAAATGCAACGACCTGAGTTCCCGGAGTCACACTGTTTTCACTATCACCGTCCTTACGAAACGAATTACAGAGTCCGGCGACGAGCATATCAGCCACGGAAAGCTGAATTTGGTCGATTTGGCTGGTAGTGAGAATATCCAGCGCAGCGGTGCTGAGAACAAGCGTGCGACCGAAGCTGGTCTAATCAACAAGAGCTTGCTCACTTTGGGTCGTGTGATCAACGCCTTGGTCGACAAAAGCCCCCATATCCCATACCGAGAATCCAAGCTTACCCGCCTGCTGCAAGACTCTCTCGGAGGACGAACAAAGACATGCATCATTGCTACGGTCTCACCATCCCGCAGTAACCTGGAGGAAACTATTTCCACGCTGGATTATGCATTTAGAGCGAAGAATATTCGCAACAAGCCACAGATCAACTCAACGATGCCGAAGAAGACGCTCATTCGTGAATTCACAGCAGAGATTGAGAAGTTGAAGGGAGAGCTTATTGCTACGCGACACCGAAATGGCGTGTATATGAGCGTCGATTCCTGGGAAGAGATGCATATGGAAAGCGAATCACGAAGGATCGTCAATGAGGAACAGCGTGCAAAGATCGAGTCCATGGAATCGAGCTTGCGACACAAGGTTCAGGAACTTTTCACGCTCACGAGCAATTTCAACGACTTGAAGAAGGACAATGAAGAAACACGTGCTGCTCTTGCTAATACCAATGATGTACTTGAGCAGACTGAGATTGTTCTCAAGGACACCAAAGCTCAGCTCGAGGAGGAGGAAATGCTGCGTAAAGCGCATGAAGAGACAGAAGCGAAACTTCGCGATCTCGGCGCAGGTCTTCTGTCTACTTTGGATACGACGGTGGAAGATATCAGTGGCCTGCACGCCAAGATACAACGCAAGACTGACCTGGATGCCACCAACAAGCGGGCCTGGCAGGTGTCTACTGCGGAAGTGTCCAATGTCACTACGGTCATTGATTCCAAGGTTGAGGCGTTCCAGGAGCAACATTCCGAGCTTGTGGAAGCCATGTCCGAAAAGATCAACGAGTTTGTCACGCGTGAACTCGGCAATATCGAATCGAACCAATCGCAATTGCTTCAATCGGCAGGCCTCTTCGATAAGGCGGAACGTGAGGCGAATTCTCAGACCACGGGCGCCCATGATGAGATGAACGAAGTCCTTGAAGAGATTAAGGATCTACGCGAGGATGTTAAGCGTAAGGTTGGCGAAGGATTGAATGGTCTCTCAGCTGCAGCTGCTCGCATTTCCAAAGAGGTTATCGGCGAGTTCTCCGAGTTCCATGCTCAACTGCATTCTTCTTACAGTGCTCTTGGCAAGGATTTGAAGACTGTGTTCGAGGATATGGTTACGCATCTCAATGGACAAAAAGCAGAGATCAACAAGCTGCGATTGGAGCTCCAGGAGGCTAACACCAAGGCGGTCGAGGCCAACCGCAGGGCATCTTCACACTTGGCACAGACCCTTGAGGAGGAGAGTGCTAATGCTGAAGCTGAGCGTGATCTTCTGATGTCGCAGATGAAGGCTTTGATTGAGGAGTCTCGCCAGAGGCAATTTGGCCGCTTGAAGGGTAGGGTGGAGACAATGCGCACGGATCTTACATCTTCTGGAGACTTCTTGGAGCACGCCACTGCGCAGTATGACCGCCATGTTGACGAATGGGTGTTCAAGTCGGAACAATTTGCCAAGGACGTCACTGCATCGAAAGACGACATCAGGTCAAGGATGCAAAGTGACTGGGAGGTAAGATTTGCTCTCTGAATACTTGTGCCCACTTATACTAATATTGTAGGTCTTCGATCAACGCAATGCTTCTATCCAAAAGGTTACAGAGTCGGTCCACGAGGAGACGGTCCGTATTGTTGATGCTCAGGTGAATAACATGAGCAAACAAATGGAAGCACTGGACGATTTCGTCGCCAAAGCTCGCTCGCAGAATGGCCGTTACCGTGACGCCCACCTTTCAAGCCTGCAGAACATGTCGTCCAATGTCCACCAGTCATATGATTCTGTGAACACACAGTTCACGGAGCTTGGTGGCCGTCTAAGTGAGCTACAAGAGGGTGCAATTCAGCAACAACTCAACCTGCAAGAGTCGACCATGCCCCTGTCGGATGAAGTCCGCAAGCCATTGACCGATCTTCGGGAGAACATCAGGAACCGAGCCTTCGAGGAATATGTCTCCACTGGCGTGACTCCCAGGAAGCGCGCCTACGACTATCCGTCTGACCTACCGCGGACTGAAGGCCATGATTGCTTGAAAACCCGGATGAGAACGTCCAGACAGTTCACAGCACTGCCATTCAGCGGCGAAGATCAGCTTCCCACGCTCGACAGCTCTCCTGGAACTCCCCCATCCAAAGGGTTCGTTTTCAACGACACCTCGGACGAGGTAGGATCTTTACCACCCAAAACCGCGGTTACTCCTTCCAACACGGGCCTTAGGGAAGTCGATGCAAACGTCGTAAAACCGCGCGCATCTAGCGCTGGAGACCGCAAATCATCTACTGCCGGCGTAGAAACCCCTCGGATTACCATGGACCTCACCCCGGAAACCGAAGACACCGACCAACCGCCTGCGAAAAGACGTTGCTCCAATCTCACCTCGACTGATAGCAAGCTCTCGCAGAAGAAGCTGACGAGGAAGATGGCTGGGATGCTGGAGGGCCCGGAAAACGTTCCTCCTCCTTCCAGCGCTAGAAGGCTGAGAAACCAGCCCTTCAATTAGTGTCACGTGCTTGACTCTTCTTTTGATTTGCATTGTGCATGAATATTAAAATATCTCGCTTGGTGGCGGCAGGCGTTATGGGATACCCTAATACCCTGGGATTTGTCCATTTTGAAGAACGACAGGTTGTTTGATATCGTATTTTGACTGGATGTTTGGAGACGGACACTGACTGGGTGCTTGTTTTGAATGCGGGATGGGTGGTTTTCGAAAACTTTGCAATATGGTGTTTGGGAGTTTGTGTTACAACTGTTTCTGGTATAGATACCTCGTCTGCTACAACGGAGATTAGCCACAAATGGCTATGTGAATGCGTCATAATTTCCGCTTAACATTAGACCATAGGATGTAGTATGTAGCATGGTGGGTGCCTAAAAGTAGTGCATATAATGTTTGCCACACTGCATGGTTACAGTAACCAGTCCGGACATCTACACTTGCCAGCTCAACTTTCTACAGACTGCCCCTCATTCTCCCCACCACCCTCAACACGAGGCTCGGCTTCGATCGGCTCCTCAGTGTTATCCGCAGGAGCACCCTCGACATCGCCTTCCTCAGGCAATGCCGTGTCATCCTCTACTCTTTCTTCCGCATCGTCCATCTGCTCCTCCGCACCAATAACCTGTCTCAGCTCCGATAACCGTTTCGCGAACTGATCCATCATATCCTCCAACCGCTGACTACTCCTCTCTCTATCTTTATCCTTCCCCGGCATATTCATAGGCAGTCCTGCCGTGCCTTTAATTTTGAGCATGAGACTCCCGTTCGGCGGCTGTCCCCCAGACGAGTTATTATTATTCTCAAAAGTAGGCGCCGAAACCAGTTGCGTGTTCAGAACCTGCCATGCTGGGGATAAACTGTGTGCGGAGGTCACGGTGTATTTATGCGCCGATGATTGTTGTTGCTGTTGCTGTTGCTGTTGTTGTGGAAGCGGAGGTCCTGTTCCTTGGGCTTCGTGAGCGCTGGCCGCGCCGCCGTCGGTGTTTGAGACTGTCGTCTCGGGATGTGTACCATCTGGCGAGGCGTAGTCTATATCGAGGATGACGTAGTTATCGCGGACACCTGGGATAGGGTCCGGAAGGAGTGATTCCTTCCTCTGGTGGGCGTAGTCATCATCTTCGGGGTATGTGCCTTGTTCACCACCGTCTTGACGATTGTGGTCCTGTGTAGGTTTGGATTTACCCTTTCCGTTGGCTGCGAAAAGATCGGGCTCGGATTCTAGGGCGCGTAGAGCTGCCTCGGTCACGATGTCTGTGTCATCGTCGGAGAAGATGTAGTGTACTGTGGGGTGGTGGTATTCGGAGGAGTTGGCGTCTTCGATTAAGGTGAAGAAGGGTTGGAAGGTGGCGTGCGATGGTGTGGTTGTTGATGTTGTCTCGTGGGGTTTTTCATGCTCGGTAGGGGCGTGCACTTGTGGGACTGGAGCTGGTGCAGGTGCAGCTTCGTGGGAGTCGTGCTCCTCCGGAATGTCGGTGACTTGTTGGGCGGTGCCGGGCCGGTCGATGATGCTCTGGGGGCGAGATCCTGAGGTGCGGCGGACTGATTGGCGGGAGGGTGAGGAGGATAAGGGAGATGGGGAGGTGTGTTTGGGAAGAGACATGTCTGGGGGGAGGAGCTACATGGTTAGAATGGAGTGATAGAGAGGGAGGATGGGAAGTGAGAGCGTGGCAGGGCCGGTACCTGAGATAGTACTACTAACTTATCTGGGGAACTACTTTAGTCTTAGTCTGGCTACTTACTAGGAAGTTGACTTGCCGCATTCGTCGCGGATCATCTGCTGCCTTATCGATAGCGTCAGGTGACCCGATCGGCGGTAAACAGAGTTGTTGTTTATTGTGCACGGATGTTGGAGTACCTGTGCTCAAGAATATATATATAGACAAATAGTAGTATGAGAATAGCTCTATGCTAGAAGAGAAATACAGTCGCAGGGTATCATAATTTGCAAGTAGCCACCAACGCCTTCAACAGTCCACTTAGGTTGTCGAGTACTGAGGTTGCTATTCATCCTCTTCGTCGTTTTGCTTCCATTCGAATTCTGCCGCTAGATTAGCAGTCATACTTAAATGCAGGGATATGAATGACATACTCTGTCTGCACATCGGACAGAGTCCCTTGGAGGACTCTTGTTGAATCCAGGTCATGAGGCAGTGCTGGGTTGGCTAATGTTAGTGTTTCGTCTTCAGGATGAGAACATCAAGATCCACAATCGCACCATATGAAAGGAGTGACCACACTTTCCCAGCACTGTGAAAATTTCCTGGTTAATAACTATGCAGTTTGGAAAAAGGGAGTACTGTTGACATACATAGCGAGCAATCATCACCTGGGAATTTACAGGTCGGACATGTGCCATCGAACTGAACCCGACAAATACCACACACTTCATCATCGGGCATATCCCAGCGCCAAGTAGCAACGGCGTTCCACTCTTTAATGGTGACCTTCATGGCTGAGGATGACTGATTGGATTGCAATGGGGGATCTCGTTTAGTGTCGGGAGGAAGGGGAAGTTAAGGGAAGGTGGTTGGAAGGGAAGTGGACCGGGCGATAAGCGGACAGGCTTTCCCGAAATTCACATGGCCACCTCCGCATTTGCGAGGAGAAAGACGGACTGATAGCGAAGCTCTCCCGTCATTGTCCATTGATCTTGCGCTTCCCACACTATTCCTCTTCCTTTCTTTCTCCCCCTCATTCATCTTTCCGGACCTGCAGGTGGGTTAATCAGACACCACGGTCTGAGCGGAATGTAAATAATCCTTGAACAATTTCTCTCATATTTACTGCATCTGCACCCCCGCCTCGCAACATGGCGTTTGTAACTCTTCGGAATTCCATCCCTTCACCGACTCGCCTATTTCGGTCCACCATGTCCACCGCAAACCAATGTCGCCAGTTCTCTTTCAACTCATATTTGATTACCCCCAAGGAGCTTGATTCCGCCCTCAAGAAAAACCCGCGCACGAAGATCTCCACCTCCCCTCGTGTGGTACCGCTATGCGCGGCCTGGTTTATGCCGAACGACCCCGAGGGTCGCAAAGGAATTGACATCTTCCGCAAGCATCGCGTTCCGGAGGCTCGCTTCTTCGACCTAGACGGAGTTAAGGATCATGACTCGCCCTACCCGCACATGCTCCCTACCGCCGAAACGTTTGCTGAAGCAATGAGTGAGCTTGGCATTCGCCGCGACGATGAGGTGGTGGTCTACGACACTGAGGAGCTGGGCATCTTCAGCGCTCCCCGCGTCGGATGGACCCTTCGGGTCTTTGGACACCCTCGAGTCCATCTACTCAACAACTACAGGCTGTGGGTTCGCGAAGGATACCCGACGGAGACGGGTGAGCCCTCCCAGCCGGAGCGGACCAACTACCCCGTACCTACGTATGATTCAAAACTCGTGATCCCTTACCGGGAGCTCAAGGAGATCGCCAAGGAGCATAGGAAGGAGGGCGCAAAGGAAGTAGAGATCCTGGACGCACGCTCGTACGGCCGCTGGGCGGGAACCGATCCTGAGCCACGTCCGGGCCTGTCGTCAGGCCATATTCCTGGCTCCCAAAGCTTAGCTTTTCAACAGCTGCTGGACCCGGAAACCAAGACTTATCTCCCGGGGCCAGAGCTACGCAAGATCTTCGAAGGCAAGGATATTGATGAGTCCAAGTCCATCATCAGCTCTTGTGGCACCGGTGTGACAGCAACTATCATTGAGACGGCACTAGGCGAAGCGGAGTTTGGAGAGCCCAACCTACGGAGGGTATACGATGGCAGCTGGACGTAAGTTCTTTCCCGATCCCTGACTTTCTACAAAGGTTCGGTGGCTGACAACGGTGACAGTGAGTGGGCACAACGTGTCAAGCCCGAGGAGGGTCTCATCAAGAAGGCAACGTAGAGACGGGAGAAAGGACAGCTGACGTTGGTTTGAAGACGAGGAGATTGGATTGGCCTGATGATCGTCGGGTCTTGTATGACATAGCGTTTTCCCCTCCATCTCGATCCCAGCAACCGCAATTATACCATACCAGATAGAGATCGAACCATCTAGAAGTACCCGGGGAAATCCCAAATAAGATAAGCGTGTAGCGATGAGTAAAGGTGATGATAACACTGGGGCAGCCATTGAGTCACTGGGGTATGGTAGGGGCGTGTTATGAGGGGAACAATAGTGGAGGAGAATATATGATGATGACAGGAAAATCGGTCGAATCCGTTTGGCGCTTAGTCAGGCCCCAGGCGAATCCCGCGGCTTTCAGTTGATCCGCTGATGGATTCATTCCTCGCTCACCATCTCGCCTCGATTCTTTTCCATCCACGATCGCTGATTTAAGACCCAAAATGCTGCAGATGATCTTCCCTAGTGAGCGAGGTTTTCATTGTAAGTGATTCATTCCTTCAATCTGGCATCTGGCTGGCGGTCGGGCTGTGAATGGCCATGGTTCTGGTCCTCGAACCAGCGCCCCCACATTCCCAGGCCTCCGCCTCCATTAATCCCAATCAATCCAAACCTCCCTCGCGGGCTTCAGCACCACGCTAACCACGCCTGCGGCTCGGTCGCAGTCGTCCAAGCAAGCTGTTCGGTCTAGGGCCCTTGTGGCTTTCCAGTCTTTCACCCTTCAACTACGCGACCGGTCCTGTCGACCTTTCTCAGCCAGCCATGTCGACCGGACGCAAGGTCTTCCACTGTGCCGTGGACGAGACGGCGTTAACCACCAATATCAGCGAAATCAAAAAATGGACCACGAACGGCGCCATCACTCTTATCGTTCCTCTCTACAGTGAGTGACTCGATGACACGCCAGTCGTATCTGCTGACCGATGCCTCTCTAGCCCTTGAACGCCTCCATGCCTTGAAGAGAGCCGGATCCCAAGTCGCCATCAATGCCCGAGAGGCCGTCCGTTTCCTCGACCGTGTTACCTCCGGCAAAGATAACATTTCCGCCGAACGAGTCATCCTGCAGGGTCCCATGGAGCAATATGAGAACTGGACCGAGGCGGAGAAGTTCTTCCTTCCGGAGTTCGAGGAGGAACCCGAAGCCAACGGAGTTCTTCCGGGCGACCAGGTGGCGCAGCGGAATCGCGAGGATAAGTCCAAAGATACGAAGAAAAACGGCGCCGCTCCCGACGATCTGTCGCAAATGCTACTCAACAAGTTGAATTTCAAGAAAGAATCCGATGCGGTCTCCATCACGTCAAACGGCACTCACAGCGCCCCTGCATCCCGGCCGTCCTCCAGGAGCTCTCGCACCAGTCCCGAATGTGCGAATTCTCATGTTGTCAATGGCGTCGGCAAGGATGCGAAAAAGAAGCCGGAGAGTGGGCACCGTCGTTCTGCGTCGGGGTCCACTATTCCGACGGTTCCTTTGATGCTCAGACCGCTGCTCAGCGCCCTCTTGTGGCGGTTGCACAGCGGCCCTGATGCAGCTAACGCGGCAAAAACATGCATTCTCATTACGAACGATCGGCCTACCCAGGTTTGGGCGCAGAAATTCGGTATCGGAGTCAAGAACATTCATCAGCTGCGGACGTCCATTCAGTACGAAGAGCGCGAATACAAGAACCGGTGCAAATACGTGGAGAAGACCCAAACGACTACCGCAGAGCCAAAGTCTCTTCTTTCCTACGAAGATGAGAGCGACGAGGATGAGCTTGTCTTCGTCCCCCGCGGTCGCGGCAAAGGATCTACTCGAGGAGGTGGCTCGCGCGGCGGCACCACTCGCAAGGCCGCTGCATTCAAGTCTGTCGCCCCGCCGGTGGAGGCTACGATGGAGATTCCGACGCAGCCAATCGACCCCAACTCGTTTAGCCGATCGCTGGGTGTGACGAAGCAGCAGCAGCAGCAGCCCACGGTTGATCTGAGCACCCAGTCCGGGGCCGCACGTGGCATGGCGGGGGCATCTCGGAACTATTCGAACAGCCGCCGTGGTGGTTCTCGGGGTCCTTCGCGTGGCAGCAGCCGCGGCCGTGGTAAGCTCTGGGTTCCTTGATCAATGGTCGGGTCCGTCAGTCTGTGCAGATGGACGGATGAATATTTCTCAAACTTGAAATAGACCATTGTGGTTGTTACACGAAGCAGAAAGGATATGTTCTGCCATTCCCGGGCTGCCTAAGGTCAGACTTGTTGTCGGATGCGACTGGCTACATTGATGGGCGACAGGTCCTGGACAGACGGCACGGATGCGAAAATGCGGTAGACGAGAGGAATCGGATACGGGACAGTTTCGATCCAGTATGGCCATCGTCGGGGTGAACTCTCTGGGCGTCGCTTAGGCTGCGAGAGGCGTAGTAGATGCTGGGTCCTCATATGGCGTTGCTTTCAATCCTTCGGACTTCCGAGGGAAGAAATGGAGCACATCTTTTCTCCTAGCCACGTTGTGGTGGGCAATTCCCAGGCCGCTTTTCGACATTCTACTCTGCAGTTACAAAACAGATATAGCAGTCATTCTTTGCGTTACTCTTTGTTGGACATGTTTTCGATTGCTACGGAGAATAATTGGAGGGGGGAACAGATTGGCGATGTGACCGAGCTACTTGCGACTTGCTACTTAGCTAACTGTTAACTATCCAGTGTGACTAGAATGCAACAGTGACCGATCCTGAATCCTGACTGTTAATGTTGTAGTGGAAATGGAAATGGAAATGGTAGTAGTCAGGTGTGATGACATCGTCCAGTGGGCCTCCTCGGCGCCAGTCCCGTGGATTCGTCCTCCGCACGCATCACTTGACCTCCCCTCATTAATCCCCTGGACAACCAGCCTTCTTTCTATTCTTTATCCCAGTCACACCACTCTTCCACTTACTGTATATACCCAGCCATCTTCCATACCTGCCCAGCGTTCACAACCACCCTAGCATACTACTACTCATCCCACCCATCCAAGCTCCAACAAGTCTACCCCGCAATGGACCTCAACACTCATACTACAGCTACCTCCATCGACGAGACCCCTCTCTCCGCATCTCCCGAACGTCGCAGTTCCCTGGAGAAGCATCTCCAGTGTCGTCCCGACGTGCAGGATCTCAAAGATAGACATATCCTGCTGGACACGAATGTTGCTCCGTACCTGCCCCCTTCCCATACTTCCATCCATCTATACAATAAGATAAATACTAATAAAGAGGATAGTTCCCTCCAAGCAACCCGCCAAGAACTCGCCCGCCAACGCACGACAGACGCCTTGAAGAAACATCTTGAACATCGGCCGGAGAGGGAGGAGTTGGTTGAGCGTATGTCCATCACTATATACTATACTATATACTCTTCTTTATTTTTATCAGGAAATAGAGCGAGGTATGCTGACTGCTTGGTGATTGTTGATGATGATAGGAAACATCCTCCCCACCACTCACGCCGCCCCCGCACTGCAGGCCAATGCCCGTGAGCTCGAGAAACATATGTTGGCTGATCACCTCGACCATAAGATTCAGAATCGGCCCAATCCCGAGGATTTGATTTCGCAGGGCATTTTGACGGAGGATGAGGATCCGAGGTTCCCGGCTGTTTAGACTGGGGTGGTGGTGTGATTGATGATGATGTTGATGATGGATGGGTAATGGGTGGATGGATATGGTGTTTGGTGTTTTGATTGATTTGAATGCTTCTGATTTATGATGGTTGTTTCTGAAGATATTGAGTATTTACTATACTCGTACATGATTGATGAGGTAATGGTCATGCAATGTTTATTCTCATAATTTTGTTACTTGCTTGATATGCATGTACATCGTACAACATCCGTCATTCCCCCATATCTCCTGTCACCCAGGATGAAACTAAGATAGATACAACCACCACTCAATACTCATCCTCTCCACCCCCACCACTCACCACCAAATCCGGCCTCCACCCCTTCGGTCTCTCCCTCCCCCTAACCAAAATCCCATACGCCGCGCGTTCCACCTTCTCCACACTCCCCTGCATAACATCCACCTTCTTCCCCATATCCCTCAACATAACCCCGCGATGTCTACCCGGAACACTCAACCCCTCAAACCCGCACCTCATCTCCCTCAAATCCACCACAATGCCCTTTTGCTCCTCGCCTAGCCCCCCCTCCTCACCTTCAGACGTACTTCCCGCGGACAACCCCGTCACCGCAAACCGCATCATCTCGCCCGTCAAATCAAACAACCCAAGCAGATAATCCTCCTCCGTGACGAGGATCCCCGAGGGGAGATGCTTCCGCACTTCTTCGAGAGTAATCAGGGATTGCGTGGTGAGGTAGTGGTGGAAGGATATGGCTTCGATGAATTCTTGGATCGCCGGGCTGAGTTGCCGCATGTATCGGTGGGTGTTGGGCGCGGGGGTTAGGTCTGGGAGGAGGGAGGTGAAGTGCGTGGTTATTTGTGCGAAGCGCGTGGTGGTTTCTTTGGTTAGGTTGGGGGGGAGGGGGTGGTTGAGGGTTCGGATACTATTATGTTGTTGTTTGTGTTAGTGGTGGTGGTGGTGGGGAGGTGGGGGATTGGGGATTGGGGATTGGCATACCGCTGCAACGCGAAGATTATCTTCTTGCTGAGGGCGGTGATGTCCCGACTGGCTTTTATTATGCGTTCGCGTCGGTCGTGGTGCTCGTCGAGCTCGTCGCGGAAGGTGGTGAACATGGGAATGAAGGGGTTGGGTTGTTGCTGCTGTTGCTGCTGCTGCTGTTCGGGTTGGTCTGTGGTAGAGTCTGCCATGGTGGGTGGTTGTGGTTGGGTGCTTGTTAATAGGGTGGTGGTGTTGGGTGATGGTTGTCCGTCCCAGGTGCGTTTTGTTCCGGCCATGGGATGAGGTCAATGTGTGGTGGCAGTGGTGGTGTGTTGGTGGGAAGGTAGAGGGGAGAATTGATGCAACGGAATCAAACTGGGAGAGAAGATGTCATTATTGGCGCGGGGCTTTACTGTTTTAGGGTGATCGAGGTGTTATCTTATCTGATCGGATCAGAGATGAATTGGGGTAGGAGATTCAATATGGTATCATTCTCTCTAGAAATGGATTCATAGCAGAGTTCAATTCAATATTTACTGTAATCAAACCTATTGAACAGTTCTTATGATAGCACTCAAAGAAGCACATCTGAAGTCCATCACGCTCTCTCAACATGTTCCACCCCCAACTTTGCATCCTCTCTCTCCACCCGAACAGCCTCACTAGACGGATAAGCCACCCGATACACCGTATACCAAGGCCGCTGAAACAGACTATCCAACGCCTCCAGCGACCGTCCAGTCGTATCCTATGCCCAATTAGCTTCATCCTAACCCACTTCAGCAAACAGGGTATACTCACCGGCATAGCAAAAAACACATACACCAGCCCAATCACACAGATACAACCAAAGAACAGAAACGCACCCCAGCGATGCGTAGCAGCCAGCAAACTAGGCATAGCCCTCGAACACCCAAAATAGAACGCCCAGTGGAAAGCCATCGAAATGGACACATTCAATGACCGGATCCTAATCGGGAAAATCTCCGACCCGATAAGATACGGAATCCCGAACCACCCAATACTCCACGCCACGGCGTGGATGTAAATAGCCACTATCGCTGCGGTTGATGCATGCGAGGCACTGGGTGTATTGCTAATTTGGGCTGAGGTCATGTCCTTCGTGGCGCCGAGGTAGGCTCCCACGTACACTAATGTGACTATTTGTAGGGAGATGCCTGTAATCAGTGATCGACGACGACCGATGAAGTCAACAATGAACAGGGCAAACGCGAGAGTACTGGCAAATTTTACCACGCCGTAGATACCTGTCGCTAGGAAGGTCGACTCGTCCCCGGATATGCCCAGGTAGCCGAAGATCGTGGGCGAGTATTGCGTGATGGCGTTGGCTCCGGACCATTGGGACAGGAGGTTTGCCATGAAGATGAGGAGGAAACGACGTCGGTTCTCAATTGGGATGAGTGTCTCTTTTAGGAGCTCCCATATTGTGGCTTCGCCGACTGATTCGGTTTCTAGGAGGAGTTGGGCGTCCATGCCTGCTAGCTCGGCTACTATGATGGGGTGGTCGAGGGGTAGGTGGCGGAGTTTGACAAGGTTGGTAGCAGCTTCGTGTCGTTTGCCTTTATAGAGTAGCCATCGAGGTGATTCGCAGCAGAGGAAGGATCCAACAAGCCATATGGTGGCCGGGAGGAGTTGTAACAGTGTAGGGAGCATCCACTGTTTATCACCGCCAGGGTAGCTTTTTGTCACGCCGTAGTTGATGAAGAAGCCGAATACAACGCCGAGCTGTTGACAAGCAGCGTGCTGCAGTGTAAGAAGACCCCTAATCGTTTTGGGTGCGATCTATGTCTGTTAGTCGAACACACCTCTCGTTACTAAATTATGAATGCATACCTCCGAAATATATATAGGTGGCACAATCGTAAGCACGCCCAATCCCAACCCCGCGATAAACCTCGAAGCATAAAGCCCTGACAGGTTCCCATTGCATAGACCTTGCCCAAGAATTCCTGCAATATAGATGAGTGTCGAGAGACGAAAGGTCCATCGTCGTCCGAATCGATCGTTGATTCGAGGGCACTGCATCCACATTAGTATCACCAGACCACGAACACAGTTCGAAACCAACATACCCCAAGACAACCAAAAACAGCACCAGCAGTAGTAATAGAGACAATCCATCCTTTCGTATTCGCATAATCATCTTCTGACAAATGATCAATCCCAAACTTTGCCTTAAAATGTGGCTGCGTAACAAGCGATGCAATATTTCCTACCAACAGCAGACGATCAATTAGCCCTCTACCCTTCCACACAGTGTTACATTAATATACTATACCTTCATCAAACCCCTTAGCCACACCAGCAAACGCAAACACACACGTACACATCAACACATAAGCATTGAACATGCCCTTCGGAGCATCCTTAATAGCCTTTCTCGTCTCAGTAATAAGACCCATCTTGACTCGAACCTGAACCTTGAACACTCAACCGCAGTTGACAGATTCCCCAGACCCCAGATAGCACGGGGTAACCCCGGACTCTCGCAAATTATAAATAAACCCTACCATCTCAACCCCATGTTACTAGTGGTATCAGCCCACACCCAATGTAGCACTAACGCCGGGAAATGTCCGACGCGGATCGGATCCAGTCCTGTTGCACGAATTGGCACTACTACAAGTACTAGTAGTATATAAGCGAGACATTGCGGGGACCAACACCAACCAACCAGCCACATCGTCCATTTACATTAACCCATTAAATATTGATATTTTCAAAATGAACTTCTACCCAGCCCCCCCAACCATCCAGGCCGAAATCTATACCCGCATCCCCTCCCACCTCCGCTGCACAGGCCAACCAACAGAGTGGCGCAGCGGCTCGGCACGCCCAGCATCTGATATCTTCCTCGAGGGGCCAGTCTGTACCGCCAACGGCGATCTCTACATCGTAGATGTTCCCTACGGGAGGGTCCTCAAGATAGATAAGGACAAGAATGTGACGGAATGTGTCCGCTACGATGGGGAGCCCAATGGGCTTGTTGTTCGAGATGATGGATGTTTGGTGATTGCCGATTATAAGCAGGTGAATACACCCCATCTCCCACGCAGTAGAAAGAATCGAAATGCTGATAAGTCATGGGATCAGGGAATACTTCTTTACAATCCAAAAACTGAATCTCTAACTCCCCTCCTGACCCGCCGCAACTTAGAACGCTTCAAAGGTCCCAACGACCTAGTAATCTCCAGCAAGAACGAGATTTATTTCACGGACCAGGGTCAAACGGGGATGACGGACCCGTCTGGGTGCGTGTACCGGCTCTCTCCCGACGGGAAGCTAGATTGTCTTGTGTCGAACGGGATTTCTCCGAACGGGCTGGTTTTGTCTCCTGATGAGCGGTTCTTGTATGTTGCTATGACGAGGCAGAATTCTGTGTGGAGGTTGCCGTTGAATGCAGATGGGAGTACGTCGAAGGTAGGGCTGTTCTTTCAGTCGTTTGGGTGTGCGGGGCCTGATGGGTTGGCTGTGGATGAGGAGGGGAGTTTGTTTGTATGTCATCCGAGTCTTGGGTGTGTGTTTGTGGTGGATAAGGAGGGTGTGCCGAAGGCGAGGATTGTTACTGCGAAGGATGGAGGGAAGAATTTGACGAATTGTACGTTTGGAGGGGAGGATGGGAGGACATTGTTCATTACGGATAGTTTGGAGGGGAATGTGCAGGTCGTGAGGTGGCATTGTAGGGGGGTGGTTGGGGGGAGGGTTTTGAAGGCTAAAATATGATTAATGTATAGTAGGGGTCATGGGAGGTGTGTAAGAATGTGTCTTTTAGATTGAAATATCACAAACTAGCTAGATATTGGTGCAAATTGTCAATCGCCGCCGTAGCACTCGCTAATTGTGCCCTCGATGTGGCAGCTCCAATGTGCGGTGTACTGATCACATTCAAGTTTTCCCAGAGCTGGCCATACTTCTCATAACTGGGAGGCTCCTGTTCGTGGCAGTCTAGCCCGGCACCCCAAAGACGGCCTTCGGACAATGCCCGTGTGAGGTCCTGTTCATTGACAATCCCTCCCCGAGCCGCATTGATAAGGATGGCATCAGGCTTCATCACGCAGATCTTGTCGTAGGAAATCATGTCTCGTGTCTCCTTAGTGAGAGGGACATGGACCGAGAGGATATCTGCCCGAGTAATAACTTCATCGATGCTGCTGGCTCTAGTGTGCGGGATATGCGTCCATATGTCCTCCGGCATATAAGCATCGTATGCGATGATGTCGGTCTGAAAGCCACCCCGAAATATCTCGGCAACAGTCCGTCCGATATTTCCCATGCCGATAATCCCGACAGTCTTTTGGTACAACGTCAGCCCTTTACATGTCTCCTTGGGGACTGGCTTTGACATTTGGCGAGTTGTAATGGACCGGATACCACGAGCAACCGACAGAGAAAGGGCAACGACCAATTCTGCCACATCGCGTGCGTTCGCCCCAGGCGTGTTGAGGATCTTGATGCCTCTCTCTGCGCAGGCATTCTGGTCGATCTTGTCAATTCCTACTCCGTGCTTGCCAATCGCAATGAGATTCGGGCAACTGGCGACATCCTCAGCAGTAAAATACGAACTTCGGATTAACAAAGCGCGCGCATTCTCTCTCCAATTTTGGAACCCTTCATCTTGAGGCTGGATAATATTGAATAGTGTTTTGGCATGTTCGATTGCCTTGGGAGGGAACGTGTCAAGAAGGTACACCGTTGGCTTATCCGCAACGGTTTGGCGGGAAGATAACAAATCGTCGTCTCTGCTGGGTGCCATCTTGGATCGAGAAAGAGTAATTATGCACTGTGAGTTTGTCAAGCCAATATTAAAATTGTTCTGACTGCTTTGCTGGACAATGACTGCTATGATATATGCCTGAGTGGTTCGGATTCCGTCCGGCGGGTATTCTCCGAAGGCAGTCTTTCCGGTCCGCAAGTCAACGAACTGGGCGACTACTCCGAAATGTACCTTCGATCATCACTCGAAGGGCGTGAGGGACTATTTCCGGTAACTCATTCACCTGCGCCTTTCCTGTCAGCTCTGCAGGGCGTCGGATGTAAGTACTTATTGGTCATAAACTATTACTTACCATGTCTGCTGATTCCTGCAAGCACCAGAGCACTCTGCAAAGAGCTTTAAGTGCCGAGAATCTCTCTCCGAGAAGGGTCAAGAGAGAAGTACATTTGTTGAGAGCACTGGCTACATTCGGGACATCGGAAGATGGCGACATCCTTCCCAGGCAGGTAAGAACCACTCCCGCAGAAAAGATATCGAAAGCATCAACAAATGATCCCGTGAAGCAGTCATCCTCCACCGCCAAATACTCGTTACTGATATATTCACTACATGTGTTTATTATATCTTGCCGGATAGTATGTGTGGTCCCAAAAACCCTGGTTGCGTTTCGCTCAAATCCACTGATTTGCGCCAGGCAGACCATGGACCTACAGGTGAGCTGCCGTATTGTTCTGGAGGAAGTTGGTGGTATATTAGAACCTATCGTCCCCCTAGGTATATCTCTCCAGTAGGAGAAACTTCCGTAGTGGAAAATTGATTGCTGATGTGAAGAGCCTCGCATCTTAGATATTAGTCGAGCGTGCATGACAACGTACGCCGGAAAGTCGAGCGCGTCTGGTGGACTGATATCTCCATGAGATGGAAGCTTTGATGATGTTAGCACACGCATCGAGCTAGTTTCTCAGACGTACCTGAAGCGTAACATCTTCATCTTCAATGCTGAATGGCCGGTCCATTGCGCAGCTAATAGTTCTGCAGGAGGTCAGACAATTTCTGTCAATGATCAAAGATACACATACCTATCAAGTATATACAAGTTCCAAAATATGTTTCTTCTCCGATTGAGCTTCTGCTCCGGTATTCCAATGTCGGAAAGCGGCTCTTTATGGAACCTATACGATATGGCCTTCTTCATGGCGAGGCCAACAAGATGCCATGTGGATCCCCCCATCGAGGAGAACATTGAGTAAATGATCATCAATTGCATAGAATGCAACATGTTCAAGTCATCGTTACTGCCTAGGATAGTAGGGAAGCTCTGCATGGCCGTGCTGTGCAAACTGCTGGCGAACAGTTCGATGCCAGATTCTGGAGACAGTAGCATCCCAATAGCTGTTGCCATATACACGTTGAAATCCCTGAAGGCGGTATACGAAATTGTATGAGACACATGGCTACCATCGAAGAAAGAGTCGCGATATTCTAGCATCTCATCCTCGTTAATACAGGGGCAAAGGGCTTTTGTATGCCCAAAGAAACGGCCCATACAATCAGCCACAACCTCTCTGGTAAGTGTAGGGGTCTGTCCCAACATGTTCCTGTACTTTGACTTCTGAGACAAAGTGAATGAAGACTGTGTTGGGTCTTTCCCTGAAATAGCAAGGGTGGCTTTTATCATGTTTCCTATTGCTAGTTCCTGGGGAAACCTACTTGCCTCACCACGGGGCTCTGCCATAGCATTGCGGGACAGGAATTCAATCTCTCCCATGGCCGCCTGCACCGATCTTTCAGTGAGACTGGTTTGATCCGTCAACGGAGTGTCGTGGGAAGTTTGTGGACTATCATGTGCAGCATCTGTCGGGATATTGGATGGCAGCGATGGTCTCCCATCGCTCGTGTTGGTTGATAAACGAGGTCGTCGGCGCCGAGACTGATCGTCCAGAACTTCCGCCTTTCTTTTGAGCGTCTCAATGTAGCTGATTCATGTCAACATCAGCTCTGAAACAGACCTGACGATAGTGAAGTCAGTGTATCCTTACTCAGGAAGCGCAGCATTGGAAAGTCCACTTGCATCCTCTGCGGTGCCCCCTAACTGGACGCTTCGTGGACAACAGTTGGCTTTTGCTTCAATGCAAGCTGTACATCCCGGCAGCAACCTGTCGCACTGATTGCACCACGTTAGTGAGGAAGATTATCTTCGTAGTGGACAGAATCACCTTTTGCTTCCGTTTCCAGCATCTCTCACAGGCTTGGAGTCTCCGTTGTGCTGTGGGACTCTGAGGCGTAGGACTTGTCCGACGGCTTTCTTCCATGGTTCAATGCCCAGACATGGAACTTCGGAGTACGTGAGATGCCATCACGCTACAAGTGCAAGAAACGTGCGTAGCCCTCGTGGGGTATGCTGGTCTTGGCTGCGGGGAAGCTGTGTGGCGGAGAATTTCCGAATCCCCACTGCGGGTGGATGGGTTCTGCGGACATTGTCCGATGCGGAAGATGTATCCCTAATGGCAAAGGGAAAGACGTGACCTTGGTACTTGCAGAATTAGCTTCAATGCAAGATGATAATGTACATGTAGCATGATTTTGCGAAGCAGTGATTCGCACGCCGCCTGTAGACCTGTGTTCGCTGAGTTACGGGGAAGGTGCGAGGCAAGGCAGGGCTAAGACATTGACCCTACCACAGGTAGCCGAGGCTATTCACTTCTCCATATTATTTCCCCACAATTTCGTTCATGAAGCTTTTGGGAGGGGATATGCAGTAGCGAAACATAGTAAGACTGCAAATCCACTGGTCTGATCTTGGTGATGAAGGTTGTGTGCTTCAGCAATTACCGGCATCATGGCCAATGGACATGAGGACAGGCAACTCCCACGACTTCCAGCCTGCCAGTCATGCTACACGAAGAAAGCCAAGGTAAACATCCCAATGGTTGAGACACAAACCATGCCGATTTAGGCTATTGATTTGACCATTGGAGGTCAATAGTGTGACAACGCTCGTCCAAAATGCTCGCCATGTATGAGGAGTGGACAAGTTTGTTTGACGGTTAGCCTGAATGGTAGTGAGCCGGTCTCGCGGGAGTAAGTGTCCTCTTTTAATTCAAAAATAATAATTAACTGGTCGAAGATATATAGATGAGCTGGAACAGAAGGTTCTAAGCCTTCAAACAGGAGTCATTGACATAGAACCCGTGATGAATGATACAGAGGAACATTCATCGGCAGACGAAAATAGTCCGGGGCCCGCTCCCCATGGCAGCCTAGGCCACATTGTTGAAACCGCGGATGGATGTAATAATAATATGAGCCTTTCCCCGAACTACACCGAGGGTGCTGGGATTAGGTATTGGTGGATATTCCTTCGGAATCGTGGTCTCTAGGCTGACAGTGACCAACAGCTTTATGAGTCTTCTATTCACCGATCCCCAATGGAGGGAGCAGAACCAGAAGCTTCTTCAAAACCTATCCAAGAGGGCTACCATTCTAGAGACCAGTGTCCAACAGAATCCACTGCCATCAGCTGAAGAGGCCTTGGTTGTATTCAACAGTTAGTATGTGTTCCCCTTAATTGCAGACCTCATATCCACGCTGACAAAATCACAGCTTGGGAGCATCTCATGTCCAGAACCCTTTCTTGCTGCGTCGATATGTGCAAGATCTATACCAAGCACTCTTCCCCCAAAGTCTGGAAGACCAACATGTAAGTGCCAGTGGCGGTCAAACAACGGAGCACCAACTATTTCGGACATTCATGATACTTGCCATCGGCGCCATCCCACTGTACCGAGCCGGCAAGCACCAGTACCACCCTTACGGCTATTTTCTTTCCGCGTTAAAACACCTCGAAGAAGGCTTTCTCCTGAAAGGCTTGGAGTCCATTCAGGATCTGTTGCTCGTAAGCAGATTTGGCATATATTATCACATTGGTGCGGTGTCCTCGCAATAACAATGTCGTATCCACTACTGACTGCGTCTGTAGGTACTTCTATATGGGAATTGATCCAACTTAGTACCAGAATGTGTATTGAGCAGGGTCTACATAAGTGTCGACCTCGAAAAAGCCCAGATGACCATCTGCTAGAGGAGCAACTGCGGAGACGGGCATTCTGGCAGTGTTATATGCTGGATCGATACACCTCTGTAATGTTGGACCGCCCACCCGCGATAGCCGACAAAGACATCCAGGTCGGGTTTCCGGCCAACGCAGATGATGAGGAGCTCGAGTTGGCCGGGCAGTCTGGTGTATTTGCAGATCTAGACTCCTTCCATCGCATGAGCACGGCACATCTGAATTCTATGCATACAACTGAGACTTCGGTGTTTCTCCTCTGCTTGCGACTACGCAAGATTACCTCAAAGATCCATACAAGATTTCAGCAAAAGGCTAAGGAGAGAGCTGAGCAGGAGATGTCACAAATTGAATTGGCCACAGCCAGCGGGACCATATATTCAGATCTTGACGAGCTACTGAATGAGCTGGAGAGTTGGAGGAACTCTGCACCTGTCTTCTCCAGCCCAAAATGCTTGTATGAGAGGCAGGAGTGGTACGATCTGCTCCTAATGCGAGAGCGATTACTTATTATCCGCAAAGCAATTGATCTCGTGCCTAAACGAAACAATGTGCCTCCGCAAGATCTCCTCAGCATCTGCCTTGAATTTTCTGTGGGGACCATTACTACTTTCTGTGCAATGTTTGACCAGGGGCTTGTGACATACACACGCAGTTACTTCCAGACTCTGTTCACTGCGGGATTATCTGTCATGTTTTGTGTTTCAGTTGTAGAGGACCTTGATTCTCAGACCATAAAGAGTGCTTCTGAAGCTGTCAAGAAGGGCGAGAAAACATTGAAGCTCATGGTCCAGGAACTTCCTGATGCGGTTCACTATGTCGCTCTATATGAAGCATTGCGGGCCGACATCTTGCGCAAGACAAAGAACCAACGACCAGATGCAGTGCATGGCGAACAGCATATCCCATTTGATACCACTCACCAAAGTGGAAGCATACAATTCCCCCTGGACGGTAGTGTGAATACTGAAAATGAACATCCTGCACCCGCCATTGAACATAACCCGCCGTGGCCCATTCTGACGCCCGACGCAAGTACCAACGAGGCCCATATGATACAATTGCAAGCCGCAGCCATAGAGAACCAACAATTATCATGGGACATATTTGGGGACAACGTCTTCTGGAGTATGGAGGCCGGCATGTTAGGGGAGTACGTGTACGGATCATCAGCTGCGGGCCACTTTCTCGACATGTAAAAAACAATATATATTCACAATCAAATACAAACAAGCCATCTAATTACACCCTCTCCAACCTCACATTGATATCCTCATACTTCTGACTCAACTGCCTCATCCCCGCCTGCACCATCGCCCCATCCTGCCCACCCAACGACCACGTCGCGCCCAACTTAAACCACATCTCCAAGAGATCCATTCTCCCCGGAATCCCCCCAATACCCACAGGCTTTCCAACATCCGCACACGCCTTAATAACCCTCTTCACCGCATCCTGATACTCAGCAGTATCATAACCACCGGGAATCCCCATATCCGAACAAAGATCATTCGAACCCACCAAAATCCCATCCACCCCCTCAACAGCCACAATCTCCTCCACAATATCCACCGCCCCAGGCGTCTCAATCATCGGAATCAGCATCGTCTGCTCATTCAACACCGCATTCTGCACCTTCGTAGGCACATGCCGGAACCCAAACGCCGGCTGGTTATTCGTGCAGCCGCGCTTTCCCAGGGGAGCGTACTTCCCATGCTGGACTAATTCCTTTACCTCTTCGACGGACTCCACGTGGGGAATTACCACGGCGGAGGCACCTGCGTCGAGGATGCGACTGATATGGAAGTGCGATTTGGAAGGCGAGCGCACGACGGGCGAGATGCCCGCGCAGTGACAGGCGAGAATCAGTTGCGAGACTGTGCGCATGTCGTGCGCGGAGTGCTCCATGTCGATGAAGATGGCGTGGATAGAGGTCGTTTTGCAGAGGAGGGGGAGTTCATTTGTTGTTAGGTATTTGGCTGTTAGGAGGGGGGTTATTTGTCCGGAGAGGATGCGCGTCCGGAAGGGGTTGGAAATGCTGGTGGTTTGAGGGTCGGACTGGGTCATTTTGGTGGTAGTTTGGAAATTCGGATGTAGATGGTGATTGATTTGAGATGTAATTGGAAAAATTGTTCTTTGATTGATGAAAATGATCTTGCTGGACTGAGCTTATACTGTTACTTATATATTGATGTTCATCGGTAACATCAAAAGTATATTTTATTGTCTAATTTAGCAATCCGGAGAATATCCGGCTGCTGGACGATGAGTCTATAGCTTCATCCGGAACTTCTCCTACAGCTCGGAAAATGTCCATCCTCACAAGTATGAACAACCTCATAGCCATAGGTACTTACTCTAGTGCTAAGAAATAACAGAATGAGTCATAACCGCAATATACCAAACAATAAACTTAGAGAGATAGAGTGAGTCACAAGTCAATATGCCAAATCATAAATGTCACACACTTCCTCATCACACCCCAACATCAATCACTGCAGAATCCCACACTACAATCCACCTACCCAGACAACCCTACAACTACCCATCCCATCCCTCTCACCAGCAGCATACCTCCCCCCTATCTAAGTAACAAACCTCCACCCGGACCCATTACCCTCCACCTCCTCCCTCTCCAGCTCCCTATTCCTCCTGACACACCACCAACTCGTCCCCAAACAAAGCAACACCGTAAGTCCACACCCCGCAATAATAATCCCCCCTCCAGTCTCGTACCTTGGCTCCTGCGACGTGAGGAAGAAGTATGGCGTGAACCAATGCGAGACGGACGACACGCAATTCGCGATGGCGACGAGCGCGGCTCGTTTTGTGCGCGGGCGCGGGACGACGCTGGTTTCCCAGGATATTTGGATCTGAGTTATTGATTAGTATGGGTGGTGGGAGGTTTAGATTGAGTGGGTAGAAAGTGGTGGGTTATCTTACGTTCAGACCGACGAATGGTCCAGTACAGAGTAAGACGAAGCTAAAGTATCGTGCTCCGATGTTCAAGGTCGAGATCATGATCACTGTTCCGGCGAGGGTGATGAGCATGGGTATCACGATGTGCCAACAGTGCTTGAGAAATCGGCCACAGGACCATGAGAGGACCAAGGTGGCGATGTAGGCTATTACCCATGGCGGAGCTTGGACGAGGTAGGTTTCGACTTCGGAGAAGTTGAGGGTTGCGACGATCTGTTGTAGCAATCATTAGCACAATGTAGAATCTCAGAGTAGGGGATTGATACGCACTGAAGGAAAGAAATCCTTGAACGACTGTGCAATGATAAGCGCAAAATGCATTGCCGAGAACAGCCACGTAAATGGATCCTTAACGGCAAGCCACACACCCTTCCAGCGACCACCATCATCATATTCGTGAATCCCTCCCGCTGAGACAAATTGTCTATACTTTGCCATTTCAGCTTCCTCTTCACTGAACCACCGTCGACTAGTATTATCGGGGAAGTTCGGGAGGAACCAGAATGCGATCAAGGCGACAAAAATACTGACGATTCCTTCTAATAGGATGAACCACTGCCATGCTCGGAGGTGAGCGATGCCGTCCATGTTCGTGAGAATGGCTGCGGCGAGGAGTCCAGAGAATACATTGGAGATGATGTTTCCCGCGTGCCAGATGCCCATCCGTAATGGGGATTCTTTCTTCGTGTACCAGGACGAGGTCATTAGGGAGACAGCGGGGATGAAGGGCCCTTCCGTGACGCCAACGAGGAATCGGCAGAGACAGAAGCCCCAAGCAGAGGTGAGGGCCGGCATGCAGATTGTCACGGCGGACCAGGAGAGCATGATGCAGGGGAAGATTATGCTCGGTTTGCCTTTGGCGATGAAGACGCTTGCTGGGATTTGGGAGATGATGTAGCCCACGTAGAAGAGGGAGATTCCGGCGGACCATTCTGTGTCGGACATGTGGAGGTCGTCTTGCATGCCGGCTAGACGGGCGTTGGATACGTTGATTCTGTCGAGGTAGCTATGGGGATGTTAGTGCCTGAGATTGATAGTAGCAGTTATAGCAAGCTCACCTCATGAGGAGCATCAATGTCACACATGGCAGAAAGTAGTAGTCCAGTTTTTTCAAAACAGCTTTGTCCAGGTGTTCGAGTTCAGTGGGAGTCTTCTCCCGCAGAAGAGGAAATTGAGCCAGCGAGTGTTCTGGATATGAGACATCCTCAAGGTTCTCCACGATAATCTTGGAGTCCCTGTCGTCCAGAGGATATTCGTCGTGTTTCGTCGCCATGGCTCATGAAAATGTATCGTGGAGTATGGACAAATACGTCTGTTACTGTCCATGCCATCTGCGCTTTTATGGGGCTATATGGCCCACATATCTTCCCCGGATTTACATTCTGGGGTACTTGATCCCCCATGGGGACTCCGCACGCAACGGACATCTCCGACTTGGCAGGTATTATCGGACAGTATCCGTACGCAGCATTGATTGCGGCATGGTGTGCATGATAGGCTCTCATCGCTTCTGAAGCGGAGGGTCTAAGCGGTGGAAAGTAATTGATGGATTAGGTTTATATCAGGAACTTTGAGGGGTCAAACACTATACATCTACCACCTGACCCATCGCTTATGCTGCCAGGCTAACAACCCGCTATTTCTCCGCCGGCATCCAATGCACCGAAATTGGCTCATGCTTGCTCCGGATTCTTTCTCCCCTAGACCACAACTGGAACGTGAGATCTGCGGGTCCAACAACCACCCTCACCTCAAACGAGGTCCGCCAGAAAGCAGGCTTCGAGCTGTACCAATGGCGATTCTTCAATTTCTTATCCACGTTGTCGGTTGCGATGTCGAGGTTGCAAACTGTTTGCCACCCTTCATGACATAGGCTGCGTGGGAGCCTCGCCGGTAACTCGGTCGACATGACAATCTCAACGTTATGGATTCCGGCTTCCAAACCAACGTCGGTCCTCAGATGAAACTCTTTTGTTACCCCGGTAGGTGGAATTGGACGCCCCTAATTGCGGTTATGGTGTAAGCTTTGCAAAGTGAGAGGGGAGGGCATCCGAACCTTGACCACGAGCCAGTCAATCTGATCAAGGGCATACAGACGTTTATCGCGAACGTCCATCTGGACTCGCTCTCCGACATGGATGTCACGATTGTAAACCTTGTGGCATATTATTCCGTAACTTACTGGTGCACATCGGAAGCCGAATGTCAGGATGCCGCGCTTGAGCTGTTGAATGCGGTCCATAACTAAGCCATGGACAACAACTAGTTGCCTGGAAATTGTAGTTCGTAAGTATCATGACGAGGTATTAGCGAAGATAAGAAGTCAACGTACGGTTCATCAGCCATGAGCACTTGCATCCCTCCAGTTTGAGTAGCCTTGTTACAGCTATTGTATCTCTCCTGGAGGCGTTGTCTCACATACGGGGAGCTACCCAGCCCGCCGGATAGCACCAGGTATTTCTGTAAACGTGTTAGCTTGGATGCGTCAAATGTGTACTAGATTGCCAAACACACAATGTCGTCGTTAGAGCCTTGGGCTTGCAGTTGCTGGATATGTGCGTCTATAAGCTGGAATATACCTTCTACCTTCGAGTCGAAGGATTTCTGAATGTCTTCCCTATCCGGTGTCAGTGTTAACTATAATGAGAACTTGACGTAGGATCTCACCATGCAATCTGCATCTGTCCATTGAATATCCCCACCTCCGGGAAGTCAAGGTTGGGGTCTAATCCCGGCACATCCAGCTTGAGCCAAGGCGTGACCGTGGCTTCGGTTCCGAAAGCACATTTGTATCGCTGAAATCGTCCGAATGTCATTCTCCACGCCGTCGTATTTGGTGATGAGTTCAAGTGCTGCTTGATAACTTCAAGTCGCTTGCACATTAGACGATGTATTTCTCTGTCAATGAAGACCGAGCCGATAGGGTGTCCTGGCAGATTGTTAACTAAGGACGATATGACAACAACCTAGATAGCTACCTTCGACATGACCAAGCTGTGCCAGTTGCGTAGGCTCGCCCTGCGCTGATAGAAGCTTGAGGACATTTACATCCTACGATCAATGTTGGTTACGAAATCCTACGAGCCAGGGAGCGGTCAAGGGGCAAGTTACTGTCGTTCCTCCACCCGAGTCGCAAACCAAGATTGTATCATCTCTCTGTACTGAGTGTTAGTTAAGTGCCCTACACTTGGTTCTTGGTATGGAAATGGTGACCTACTCCGTAATGCTCGTTCCCTGCATAAACAGCTGCGGCCTCTGCTTCCGTAAGGCCGATGCAAGCACGGTGATTGGGATTTCGTGCGTCAATCACCTGCATTAACAGTCTCCGAATTTCTTCTACCATGCGCACATCCTTCCACGTAGTCGGAACACTGAAAATAAACTCGACACGTTGCATGACAAACTGTGGGATAGTGGTCTCAAAGTAGGACACCACATGCCGATAGATGCACTGAATATAGTCCTGGAACCATTTCTGGGCCTCTGTCAGGCTTGGGCCCCCATCTCGCGCATACTGAGGCGCGAGATGAAGCTTGAAGAACTCTTTGGTCTCTGCTTCGGAATTATCGATGTCACATTGGAACCCCCAGTGGCTGACTGACTTGGAGTCAGAGCTATAAGTAATGCAGGTAGGAACCTTATTGGCCAGCTCGCCAGGTAGCTTGCCCGGCCATCGCTGGATGGTTTTGGGAGGTGGCCATTCTGGCCCGTATGAGTATGCGACACCTGATCAGCAGTAAGTGTTTAGGTCAAGAAACTCACGTCGAATAGCCTACAGCTTATCTACGTACCTGTGTGTGTCATTCCGAAGTCGACACCCACTACGATGTTGGGATGCCATTCCTCACTGTGCAGTGCGCTTTTTGTTGGTGGACCAAGGGCTTCTTTGTCGCTCATGTTGTAATGCTGGGAAGTGGAAGTGTCGACAGAGGCGCGTGCGAGACAGAAGCTGGCTCTCGAAGCCCCTCAACTGGAACCCCTGTCCGACTCTAGTGAATGCAACTAATTTGTCCCCCACTCCACTTAGACAAGGCTGCGAGAAGCGCGTCCTCTTGATCCTGGAAAGTCTGGTACCGGGGTGCATAGCGCAAAATTTAGCGTCAGTTTTTATCGCCGTCTTTTTCCCTCATTAAACGTATTACATTATGAGATTCGTAATAATTATACAGTAAAAATAGTAGCCATTTAGTGTGATTTTAAAAATCTTCTCAACAATCTAGGTTAGACACATGAGAAATCTTTTTCCGAGCTTAGATGGCGATGTTCTGCGGCATTGCTACCTCAAAATCGTTTTTGCCCGAAAGCCGCTAACAACCCGTAGTCTGTATACCCCTGTCTGCAATGCCCAGTTGAATTAGTTCGCCTGGGGCGGAGAAGTGCATTAATAAAACGGGCTTTGGGTACTGTTCAGGTCTTTGAATTTTTACTCCCATTTTGTTATTTTGTCATCCGCCCTCTCCCACAATGGAAGCCTTGATTCAAGCTCGCCAAGAGCAATATGGTTCTGCATCGGTGCCCTTGTATGGCACTACGACAAGCGCAACATCCCCAACTCTGACTACACCGAGCTCTTCTTCAGCAGTATCCCCTAAAACCACGTCGGCAAGTGTGATACATTCCTTCTCATCCAGCACCCCTACCACCACTGCATCCAGCCTGCCATCGCACAGTAACGGAGTCAGCAAAGGCGCTCTGGCAGGGGCAATCGTTGGATCGATTGTCGGGACTGCTCTTCTTGCCATCATCGGGGCTGCGCTCTTCTTTCGAAGAAAAAGAGGCACTCCCCAGTCCAGCAGTTCTGGTGATTCCGATCGAGATGGGGTAGACTTGGTCAAACCGCGGGCCAGAGTTCAAGCCCTGTCGAGTCACTCTCCCCTTTCCCCGACAGGAGGCCAAAATTCACTCCCCGATTTGATGCCTTTTATTCCCCAGCCAGCCGACGACCAATCTGTCAGCACGCGCATACAGACTCTCTTCGATCACATCGGTCTACATGTCGACAACTACTACGTGCCTGCAAGACATGAGACCGTATCCCCAACCCCGGAGGAAGCTATTCGCATAGAAAGCTATGCTTCTTCCTCGCTTTCCGGATCCTTGACCACCGCTTTAGCTGGCCGTCGCACCCGTCGACCTGTCCTCAATCATGTCCTGGCTCGAACCATCCTACAAGCTATACAGCCCGGAGGGTCTCTTTATCCTCCGTTCATGGAGTCTCATGGGGTTGAACCTCTCTCAGCCTCGACTTCGACGCGTGACATGTTCGCGTGGCGCATGCTGACAGCTCGTCTCCATCCGGAGTATATGGACTTGTCTTCGGCAGCTGCACAAAACAATATCACTGCTCTAGCAGACAGTTTCTCAGAAGCTTTTGCAATATACCAAGATTCCGAACTCTCCGACGGAGATCGCAGGCGTCATTTGGTCAGTGTTGTGAGGGAGGCTGCTCAGCTGAGTGTGTGGCTGTTTACCCAGCCCTGCTCGTTCAACTTTAGCTGGAGTGCGCCGTCTCCTGGCACTATTGTTGTTCTACCAGCGGTCATAAAGACCAGTGATGAACGGGGAGATATACTACCGGTGCCTCAGAAGATGGTGGAGGAGACGATCTCTCAGATATGATTCCATAACCACGTTCGTGATATAATGAGTCGTTATAGCACCATGACTCTGAATGCCCCCTTAATACTCCAACTACACAAATAATGGCCGTCTAATTATCATTCCCCTTCGCCTGCCTCCAGCGTAATAAATCCCGCATCTCATCCTTAACATCTAACCCCAATCCTTCTCCCTTCATACCCTTCATCCCAAAACTCGCATCGCCACCAGTACAAGCGCCAACGCCCATATCAACACTCACCCCCTCCCCAGGCAACTCCTGTACCTCCACCTCCTCTATACCCATTACCTCACCACCTCCCCTCCCTGCTATTTCTTTCCCTCCATCATCACAACCCAACCCCATCAACCTCTCCAACACAACCATTAAACTTGAATAGCAAACCACCAACCTACTCCTCTGCACCTTCGCCCTCTGCCCATCCCTACATATCCACCTCAACTGCGTCCCCAAACCCATTGACATCCGCTTACTCCTCCCCTTGACATTATGGTGAGTAGTGTGCTGATTGCTCTTGACTTCCCACTCCACCCTCACCGGCTCGACCAACACCGCTAACGCATGTACCGCGTCTGCCGTATCGGCAATCGTGGACTCAACCCATTGTCTTTCTGAGTCGTCAAAAAACGCTGCTTTTTGGGAGTAGAGGTGCGAGGCGCGGTGGAGCTGCGTGCGGATGTGCGTGAGGGTTTGGAGGAGTTCGGCTGATTCGTGGTGCGCGGAGGGGAAGAGGAGGGGTGGTGATGGTGGTAGTTGTAGGTTCGGGTGGGAGTTTGGGTGTGGAGGGTTGGTTGTGAGGGAGGCTTGATCTGATAGTGAGGTGTTGGGTGATGTCGAGGTGGAGGTTGATGTAGTGGACATGGGCATGATTACGGATGTGGATATGGAGAGGGTAAGTTTGTTGAATACTGTAGAAAGCGTTCGAGGGGATCAGAAGAAGGAGGAGGTGCTGGTGGTGTTCGGGGGTGGTTTCCGTGTATAGGGCCCGTTGTTAGAGATAGTTTTGGGTGTGTGGATAGGTAAACAGATTGGTGCGGAGGGTACGGATGTATGCATCTAGGGTCATTAGCTGCATGTGTATTTTTGCTGAAATGCGGGATACCCTATACAGCGCGACACTGAGTATCGTCTTTGTTAGCGCAGGAATGGTTACGTGCAGTTGACCAATAGGAAGCGGGGCCCTCATGCATCCTGACTGCGCCGCAATTTGAACCACTGGCCAAGAAGACTGGACAGATAAGCACCCGACAAGGTTTCTTAGCATAGGTACACCCGTTCCTCTATCCGATTTGTTGATTATGTGCATCGGTGGGGTCCCGTGCGGGGACGAAGGATCCGCTAAATAATCGCGTTATAATTGCTATTGCGGTTTTAAACCAGTGCTATTACTTACTTTGGCGTAGCTCAGCCTCGCCCCGAGACAGTTGAGCGGTCTCGCCCGAAAGTCTGTCTTTGCTCGGTGTTGGATTTGATTGCATGACTCATGATTAAGCTGATGCCATTGATTCCTTTCCTGGATAGGCATACCTGGTTAATATGCTACATCACAATGTAAACTGCATGACAAGTCGAAGAAGTATTTAGTTAGATACAAGAAAAGTACACAGGTGCTCGTATGCAGAACCAGGCATAGAATATTCGATGCAATTCGGCAAGCTATGCTATATCTTCCAGCTTTCCATCCACCACATGCAACACCTTTCCTATCACGAGTCCCTTACAGAGCAAGAGCAAAGCCGAGGGCTCCAGCAGCACCAGCGAGGCTCATAGCAAGGCCTCCGGTGACGTCAGGTGCACCCCCAGTTGACACAGAAGAGCTATCTGAGGCGGTCGATGCAGCACTAGATTCGGACGTACTTGTCCCCGTCAACGACAATGAAGACGAAGAGATAGAGGACGTGAAAGGCGTCGATGTTAAATAATTCCAGGAAGGGGTAGTATAATTGCCATCAGAATCCGGCGTCACAGTTTTGGTAACAGCGGTAGTAACTGGAGATCCTGTGACAGTTTCCCGAGTGGTTACGGTCCTAATGACGGGTGTAGCCTGATTTGTAACGTCGTTGAGTGTGGCCAACACTGTCACCGAGAGGAGGGCAAGTAGTCTGACAAACATGTGGAAGGTATTATGGAGAAGTCTTCGGTGGGTAACAGAACTGGTTTTGATACAATTGGGTGATGAACTTACTATGTTAGTAGGAGCGGCTTCTGCTTTATATACTTTAGTTTATTGGGGCCTAATTAGGAGTTAGTTCAGAGTGAGTCTTATGTGAGAGTAGAATGATACGGCAACATTGATAGTCGACTGCGTTAAGAGACGTCTTCTTCTCTTAGGGGTCCGTGAGCTCCCGCGCCACCGCCCATATTCGTCACAGGGCAGCTAAGCTATTAGTCCACGAATGAACAAGCATTGAGGCGGAGGCTTAGCAGTTGGGCAGAAAATACTGTCTCAAACAGGGGAAGTATAAGTACCGTTTAGGCAAGACTTAGTAGGAAGAGCACGATATGGTATGCAACTCAAGCAAGAAGTGAGGCTGCCAAAATGTATTCAGTTGACCCAGACGGGACCTATCAAAGCTAGTCAAATCCGACATTTGTAGTGTCAGTTTTACCCGGTTCTCGGCTGTCTCATCGCTTTTCGCCGTTGCTAAATGATGTAGCACCGCTATCTATAAGCATCTGCTCCACATTCGGGGCGTATTTTCTGGCTAGATCGAGCGGGGTCCGACCTTCATTATCTGCAGCATTAACCTCCGCCCCAATTTGGATGAGATAGCGCAGAACGTCTTCCGCAGTATACTTAGAGTTGCCCTGGATAGTACATGGAGGTGATACTGTTTGAGGGCCAATGATTTCGGTCCGGCGTAGAAGTGACGTCGGTGCAGTGAGTCCCCATGTTACATACGCTGTTCCACGCCCGAAGTATTTGTACCTACACCGCTCTACCGCATGATGCAGGATTGTGGATCCTCTAGCGTCCCTGAGACCGAAACCAATACTCTCTATGAGTAGCTGCAACAGGTCGAGCCGTAGACTCCATATAGCCTCCTTGAGCCACTCGATATCGGGCTTGTGACCGTATTCAATGAGCAGCAGGATAAAGTCAGGTGTTCCGCAAAGAATAGCCCAGTATAGTTTATTCTGGGGAAATACCTCTCCGTGTTCTAGCAGCAGCCGAGCAGTATCGATGGTCCCCATGTCCAAGACGTTCATTATAAATCCCCCAAGACCATGATCTGAATCAGTGAATGTTGCGCCATTATCAAGTAGGAACCGTACTATATCCGTCGAGATTTCTCTTGACTCGGCTGCCTTATGTAGGGGATACACGCCATCACGAGCGATGCCCAGATCAGCTCCGAACTCCTTCAGGAGCTGGAGCATCTTCAACTGGCCTGTATCAACCGCATACCAGACTAGTTGGCCAGCCTTAATATAGCTGCTTTGAATATCTGAGCCATTTTCAAGTAGAAGTCGAACGGTACTTAGATGTCCTGATAATAGAGCATCCATGATAGGGGGCTGGGTTAATTTACGGAAGAACCAATTCTGGTCGTGCACTCCGTTTATTTTAGCCCCGTAATCCAGCAATATTAACACCAAAGTGTCATTTCCAATGTTAGCTGCGACATTGAGTGGCGTTTGCAATTTAGACCAGGGCTTGATAGGGACTTTCGCTCGACGCAACAGGCGATAACTGCATACGACATTCACGTCGGCACCGTACCGGAGGAAGTTTTGTGTGCCTTGTACATTGCCCGTCACAATTGATCGCATGAAACTTGCTGGCCAATTACGTGTAAAGTCTTCAGACTCGTCGCGTCGTTGGTAGAGGCCTGGAAGGAGTACCTCATATAATGGCGGTTCACCTGCAGTAAACTGGCGAGCTCTCCACTTGGAAGGAGTTCAGCGATCTGTTGTAATAATTCGGTGGGTAACAACAATAATGGCATGGCGTATGCACAACTTGGTGGGAGGTGAAGAGTGTGAGGAGTAAGAAGTTGGGTAAAACTTGACACTGAAGGAGACCTTATATGCCGACAGGTACGCTGGTTGCCTAGACTAGGTGAAGGGTTTAATCGAGCAAGTAGCCATTCACTGGCTCAATGGCTACTCAATGAGGTCTGTATATGAATTGAGAGGCTAGCGTCCTAGTCGACTTCAGATCCTGGAAAGGGTACGTTGGGTCATTCACTGCAGCCAGGCAGGCACTGCCTGATTATTCACACCTCCTCTGCCTGGGCGGCTTCGTGTCTTCCAAACAAGAGCCACTCTCTTGAGATATAGGCAGATCAGACATCTTTTTAGTTCTTTCTCTTTCTCGAGAGGGGATAAAGGCTACATAATGGAAGCTGCCACCGCCACATTAGGCTTCGCTCATGCCACATCTCTCGCCTACCGGGGTAGGCAACGATTCCTTCCAAATACGGTGAAATCAATTATAGTTTCGCTGGATAGACAACAATTCGTTGTTTATGGCATCAGCTTGATACCTGAGTATACCAAGCTCTCAGGTACCTTCTCGGCAGGACCGAGTCAAACTGGATAACAGTAAGCTTTCTGCATTTTCTAGATACAAGCCTTGCCTTCTAGGGTAGACGGAGCGCATGAGAAGGGAAAATGGAGGAGAGCAAAAGGTGTGGCATTAGAGAACGCTGGTACGGTGGTAACGTTTCCTTTCACTATAGCCCTAACCATGTCGTTCCACACATATAGTCTTTGGTTTTCCGATAAGCTCAGACCCCACGCCTACAGCTGTATGCAATTGAGTATTGTAACACACCGTAAGTGAAAACATGTTCATTATATGACACGAGAGTCGAACCGCCGCGAATCCTCCTGGTTCCAAAACTCCTGCGCCCATGTCCGCGCTGTCCAACCATTAGTATCCCGGAGCGCTTCATCCACATCATCACGATCGAGGAAGAACTCCACCACACCCTAGAACCCGTACTGCATTGCCCACATCAGCGGTGCGTTCCAGTCTCCCATATTAACATCTGCGCGCTTGGCCCCTTCCAGTAGCGCCCCCACAATTTCCAAATGATCGAGCATCGCCGCACAGGTCAGATCGGCAGGGGCTCTGCAGGTAACCCAGAGGAGTGCGGAGCTGTTATTTTGCTTGATAATTCGGAGGAGGAAGGGTACGAGGCTGGGATGGAATTTTCGGCTTGCTTGGATGAAGGGGGTTAAGTACTTGTGTAATAAGGATGTCGTCGGCTATACAGAGCTACTGCTCTGTCGGTAGGTGGACGTGGGCCCGTGCCAGTGAGATGAATTCCAAAGCAGGTACCGAATACAAGCGAGTATGAGAATTATTCTATCTAATGCTTGTCAGTTTGGGAGTCCGACACAAAAATCGGTACTATTTATTCTCCCCGCTCGGTGGATGAGGAAGTAGTCTGTTCTGTAAGGATAATTATAGGTAACAACGTGACGTGACCGACTCGCCAAGTAGTATCTATTGACAACCTAAGCACGCGCTCTCATCCCCTTGATCCGCAACCACCAACGTTCCAACTAAACCTTCCTCAACAGCCATCTTCGGCATGATCAACTCGAAAGTGACACCGGGGACATGCCGCCCATCTCGATCACTTTCCCTATGTGTAGGTGCGGTGTCGTCTTTCGCTTTCACGTCCCGGAAAATTTCCACGATGAATGACGACCGTCAACTCTATGAATACACATCTGGTCGATGGATGTGAGTTCTTCACAGATGCCAGCTACTCTCCCCTTTTTGTAGCTTATATGGGTAGATATAACGAGCACATTCGACTTGCTGAGCGTTGCACGGAACTTAATGTTGATGCATTGAAGAGTACTGTAGCTCGGTCCCTACAGAGATCTGACACAGATATTAAATGCCTCTCAAAATTGGCGGAAGGGGGCTTCAACCGTGTCCTTCAGATCACCATGCTTGATGGCACTAAAGTCCTCTCTCGATTGCCATATCCCTCAACACAACCAAAAGGATTCGCAGTCGCAAGTGAGGTGGCGACCTTGGCTCTCCTTCGGGCTCATGGTCTTCCTGTACCCCGGGTATATGCATACTCCACAGATGCTACAAACCCTGTTGGCTCGGAGTATATCATCATGGAAAAGTTACCGGGACGACCGCTTGGTGACCAGTGGTTTGAGTTGTCTGATCGTGAACGGCTTAAGGTGCTCCTGCAGCTTGTACAGTTTGGAGCAAAGCTTCATGCGATTCAGCTCCCTGCCAGTGGAAGCATATACTACGCGAGCGATCTACCATCAGACTCACCAGGTATCGCCGTTTCAGATTCTGATCTCTGCATTGGCCCTAGTGCAGCTCTTGAATGGTGGTTCGCAGAGCGTGCCTCTCTCCGTGTCGAGCGCGGTCCTTGTAAGTGCTTCCTGGGCCAGCCTGTCTCAATGCTGACCATATATTAGGTGCGGACCCGATTGATGTTCTCCGAAATCCTGCGTTAAAGGAACTAGCCTGGCTGCGCACACATGGCCGCCCACGCTTCCCTTTTGAGCGTGCATATCGCGAGTCCATGGGTTACCGATTGGCCGACCCCAGTGAGCATATTGAGTCGCTAGAATCCTACCTCAATATTGCTCCTCGATTGCTCCCATCAAATGAATTCTTACGTCCGGTCCTTCGCCACCCTGATCTTCAGCCTAACAACATCTTTGTCTCAGATGACCTGGACATTGTCGGGTTAATTGACTGGCAACATGCAGCTGTCCTTCCGCTCTTTCTCGCCGCCGGGATTCCCAAGTTCTTCCAGAAATACGATGATCCTGAATCGCTTTATTTTCGCCCGCCGCCTCCTCCGGATTTAAATGATCTGGACGAGGAGGAAAAGGCTGATGCTCTTCATGACTTCCGACGACGCCATACCCACTTTTTCTATTTGGCCTTCACTCAGCGGTTCAATGAGCCTCACTTCCGCGCTATGGATCAGAAGAGAAACATGCTCACTCGGCGCGTCTTCAACCATGCGGGCGACCCCTGGGAGGGCAACAATATCCCGCTTCAAGCTGACCTTGTCTTGTTGGCCAAATTCTGGCACGAATACTCAAATGATCCGTGCCCAATATCTATCTCTACGGCCAGGTCAGATTCTATCATGCATTTGCAAAGCATGCAGGAAGAGATTGACCTCCAACTGAAACATATCCGTAATGCTATCGGTATCAGTATTGATGGATGGACCCCTTCAGAAGATTATGAAGCTGCCTGTGCCCGTGCTCGTCAGATGAAAGTTGATGGTCTCGCTTCACTGGATACAGACTACGAGCCCGAAATGACGGATCGACACTGGCCGTTTGATGACCACAATGATGATGAGTAGCGTGACTGTTCTCTGTGTCCAGACTTCTCTTCGAAGGGTAGAAGATGCAACATGTTGATTCTGTAAAATGTCTTGGTTTTTTGATCTTCTTTAAAGATAGAGACGCCCTGGCCACCTGCACAATAGCCCTGTGGTCATGTGCCGGGATGCCGAATACTGTACTTAATTTCATCCAAATCATTATTAGACACCTGGTGATTTTGTCACATGTTTCTTTATGTGTGAAACGTATACTTTGCTTCAAAAGGTGAAGCACCGGTATAGCTAGCATTTCACTGAGCAGGCTCTATCAGCTATAACAATCTCGATTGAATTGAATTGCAATAATTGGATAGACCGATATATAAATATGTATATATACCCGAAAAAAAAAGAATACGAAAAAAAAAAAAAAAAAAAAGGAAAAAGAAAACCGAGACGCAGAACAATAAATTGCACTTATTTCTATGAATTTGCTTAGATGAGACTGCTCATGAGTATCTACATGCAGACGGTTGGGAAGAGTCATGTTCAGGAAAAGGCAAGAGCGTATACGAAGGGAAGATAGGGCTTTTGTAAACACAAAAATTATGAAAGGGTCTAAATCCTGTGCAGGATCGGCATTTGGATAATTTATTGCAGATCTAGAAGTCTTCAACATTAAACTACTGAGGTCAAACGGGGAGAGTCCGGGCGCAACTGATTACCCACGAAATGCGCGACGGGCTGTGAGAACCCTGGGAGGTACGCCAGTCTTCCCATCGTTGCCACTTGTTTAATGAAAACCTTGCGGGTACAGAAATCTACAACCACAGCTTTACTCGCTCTTCCGATCCTGCTTGATGAGGTCCGCCGCTCTCTCCGCGAACGCATACACAGTAGCTTGCAGATTCGCCGTGCTTATAAGCGGGATAGCACTCGCATCCACAACCCTCAGGCCTTCGATACCGTGGACCTTCAGATTGGAATCAACCACTCCGTCCTTATCGCGAGGCAGCATCGAACAGGTTCCCGCAAAGTGCCACATGGAGACCAAGTTGTCCCGAGCGTACTTCTTTGCGGCATCCAAGTCTCCTTGGAAGTCTGCATCTGGGTCACGGAACTTCAATGGCTGTTCAAGCAGCTCCCCAAGCTGAGGTGACTCTGCCAGCTTCTTGATACGGAGCAAGTGACGGGCCATGACTTCCAGGTCGAGAGGGTTTGACATGTAGCCAGGGTCAATAACTGGGGGGGCTTCCGGGTTGTTGGAGGTACTGGGGTTCGGTTTGTCAGTTACCACAATTTCTATCAAGGAAGATGTAAACAACAAAGATGCACTTACATTTGAACGCTTCCGCGGGAAAGCGGTTGAGAAAGCATAACTCCAAGCGTGACGAACTTTCCAGGAGAAGCATCTGGGATACTCCCGTCCCTGAGATCTTTGGCATAATTTGTCTGCCCCAAGGCGGATAGGTACGCAGCTGATGGTTGCTTGGGATCAAGAATAGTGGTCTTGGCGATTTCATAGTAGGATTGCGTTGCCTTGTGCTGTGATTTCTCAGCAGCGTCGCTGGTGAACAGTGCCTGGAGATCACTTCTGTCCTGTTCAGGAAGAGGTAAATAGGCGTAGGTATGAACTCCAAGTGACGCGAGGGGCCCAGACTTCGTGGCAGCATATTCCTGCATTGCCTGACCAATGGCTTCAGGCTCTTGTCTAACCAGAGAGTCCTTCGTTTCAAGTTCAGGCTTTGCTTGAAATGCCGTGTATGAGATCATATGATCTAGGGGTATCGAATGTTAGCCTTTTTATTTCGAAGGGAGTACTTGTCAAAAGGAGAGGGTTCCTGTTATCTATGTCGTCGGTGCTAGACTGGAAGCTGTTCACATACCCTGAAGATTTTGCCCAACTCCGGGAAGGTCCATAACCACATCGATACCATGCTTGTTGAGAAGGTCTGCTCCACCAACTCCTGAAAGTTGGAGGATTTTCGGAGATTGGAAAACACCAGCAGCAAGTATGACTTCACTCTTTGCCTGAACAGTCTTTGAGGCCCCATCATGACTGTATTGGACCCCAATAGCCCTGGGAGGCTTGCTTTCGTCAAACAAGACTCTCTCAACAAGAGCGTTTGTAAGGATATGAAGGTTTTGGCGAAGCTCCACAGGCTTATAGTAAGCCAAGGCAGAGTTGCTTCTCTTACCCTCCGAGTCAATACTAGCAAGGCAACTGAAGGAGCCTACAGAACTGTGAATGAACGGATCCCCGCCATTGTATTCTCCATGGCTGCGAAACAGTTCAGCCCATGCTTTGCGGATGGGGTGTGTCTCGTTGCCAAAAGATGTCTGGATTGGACCCTTCGCTCCGTTCAGTTCAGGCCAGTCATCAATTGCCAGACTTTCCTTGACATCCTGCGCTACAGTTGGACTGCTGTAGGCCTTGGTCATATAGTCTTTCAAGGTGGTCCAATTCCATCCGGGATTACCGAGTTCCTCCCATGAGTCAACAGCCCCCTTGAAGGGAGGAACAAAGACGTGTGCATTCAATGAACTGGATCCTCCGAGTGTTTTGCCCTGATTGAGACCAATTACTCTGCCATTGAGACCTGGCTATAACCATAATAGATTAGCTATCTCACATACTCTCTCTTGTTCAGGACAAGGGCCATTCATACCTGAGGGGAAGATTGGAATTTCCAATCAGCGTCAGATCCAAGTAGCGCGGCATAAAAGATAGGAATGTTCACGCGGGGATCTGCTGTCAAGTCGGTACCTGCTTCAAGAACGAGAACGGAGGTGTTGGGGTCCTCGCTCAGTCGAGAAGCAGTTACCAGGCCAGCCGTACCGCCGCCAATGATAACAAAGTCATATGCAGTAGTAGCCATTCTGTACTGTGTGCAGATTTACTTGGAGATTAGATGAGAGTGTGAAAAGAAAAAGAATTGCGAGTGTAGGAAGTAGCTTGTTAAGAAGGAAGGAATATCCCGAGACGGGAGAGAGATATTTATTAGGGACTAAGTGAATAGCTTCCTACTAGCTAGGATCATCAGACAACAAAGAAACATTATAATGAGCTCCACAAATGCCAGTTCTACCCCGCCCAGTACGTAGTACCCATTTCAAATCCACCGGCTTCTGCCCCACCAATATTTTTAACCGCTAGTATTTACGTAACATGCAACCAAAGCCTGAGATGATCATTGCGGGCTTTACTACAGATATGTATCAGTACTAGATAATAACCTCCAAACTGGAGAACAGACGACGGTGTCAAATTATAGATAGGTCTAAGCTTAACGTACCTGTGGCTTAGGAGAGAAATATTCCAAAAGCATAATGAGAACAGACTTTGGAAGACATTCCAGGAAAGCTTATTATCGCTTCGTGATCGTAGGAGTTAGATTACGGATTTTCGAGGCCGAGAATGATTTACGTGGCAGTGTAAAGGTAGCCTGAAATAACAATTTCGGTGCTAACTGAGGGGCTTTCCATTGTTTGTTAAAGCCTTGTGACATTGGAATGTTTGTTTGGTTATGAGCCAATGAGATTCAGTAGTTTTACCGCCTGAAAGTGGCTTACAATACTCTAAATAAATCAAAGGATGTCCCTGTATAGGTAAGTGTTCCCGGCCTTGTGTCTCACGAAGCCACATTCCCGCAATCCCTGCCCCATGCAGACGTCTAGACCATCGTGTAGATAGCTCCCAACAATTACGGCCTTCATTTGGTCCCACGCATCTTAGCCCCATGCATGAGAAGTTTGCGTGCTCGGGGCTCTTTCCGGCCGATTCAGCACAGACTATGGAGTCAATGGGTTGTGAGTTCAGCAATTTGACGCGGGATTGTCCTGTGTTGCCTGTGTTTACTGCTTAGGGGATCGTTCCTTGAGGTGCAGCGGGGCCTAACAGTAACATTCTCGTCGATTATTGTACCCTGCTACTGAGCTATATTAGTGGCACTGCCGTCTGCCGCACTGTGGTCCCACTTAGGCCATAGGCTAAGCCTGCATAGGTAATTGTAATCGCCAGCCATATTTTCCGTACGCAAATGATTTTCTTACCAGGATGCTTTACAGCTAAGTGCCATGGCTGTTTACATACTTCCTGCCATGAGCCGCACCTAGTACCTTTCCAAGTTCCCCAGAGCCTCACAGAGAATCCCAACAAGGGTTCCCGCTTAGGGCTCTGCATACACCCGATAACGTTACTGGTGGCATAGCCGGTTGTGTTACTTGACAAAATCTCAGGTAGTGTCTCCAATTGAGGTAGGTACAGGAACTCTTTGGTATATCTCTAAGGTATAGGAACACAAATATAATTATAGAGGATGGTGGGAGGGGGGAGCCTCCGGGAGGAGACCTGTTAACACATACGTTCGCTTAAAAGCTCCTGGGGCACTGCGGAAAGTTGCACGGCACTCCGGGAACTCGCAGGCCACCCCGGGAAGTCGCAGAAACAGGATTGACTAGTAAAAATGGTAGCACACGGGGCACGCACTTGAACAGGGAATCTTAAACGGATTATATTTCGTTTTCAAATTTCATAGCTAGTTACTAAACCGGGCTTTGTTGAAGTCACACGACTGAGGCTTAACCCTGACTAGATCCAGCAGAGAGGTACAGATATGAAGGGACAGAGGTACAATCGACATGGCTATTTCTTTATCTTTGATTCCAAGGCAGAGATTGAGATGTGTTGGGCTCTTTCCACGAAGGCTGACGCAGCTATTGCGTCTGAATTACTCACACGCAACTGCAAAGACATATCAATGAGAGAAAGCGGATAAGGATAGCATATCTTAACAAGAGAATAGCGAGGATAAATAGAAATCTGCTTCGAGAATAAGATAAAGTGGAGACATATATGGTTCCCAGCCTGCTATAGAATTACCCATTTGTGATACAACTCCACCACTGAAGGATGTCTGCCTGTCATATCGATGCACCCCTGAAGTATTACCTCCTTTTTCATGGATTTGTTTATGTTTTGTGAATAGCGTGAAATCAGAATCAGCCTTCGAGCTAGGTTCACTTTACACAGAATCCATTGCGGCTCTTGATAAATAAAGCCAGTCAAGATCATGGATACTGGCACACGAAGGTCTGCTAAGACACTGCTTCACTTGTTCTATCTTCAAGCCAGTTGACTCTGGATATATCTACAACCATGGCGTCTTTTTTATCATCATCGTTCTATCATGCACACACCGCCCATTTATTTGTCTGTGATAACATCAAAGAGATTATATGCCTGGGGCTCTTATTTGGGGTATTGAATGCCTCTGTGGCGTCTGAATTCGGCATGGGTGCCTCTTTGCCTTTCCATCAGATACTTTCATCCTTACCTCAAATGTTTCTCTGGTCATGGAGCAATCTGTTTCTTTTCACTCTTCATAATCAGCGCTCTGAGTCTGCCATCTCAGAGGACAAGATCAACAAGTCCTGGAGACCTCTCCCAGCAGGCCGGATAACTCCCCATCAAGTCAAGCTTCTTTTATATTGCATGTATCCCGTCATATTTGCAATTGCAGGCACCACGGGGGGTGCTGGGCCGTGTCTTCTGGAGGCATTCTCCTGTCTGTGGTACAACGAATGGAACGGCGCGGCAAATCCACTACTGAAGAACTTGCTTAATGGTATTGGATTCGCGTGCTTCTTTTCCGGTCCACTGGAAGTTGCAACAAAGAGCTCAGTTCTTTCGGGTGATATGAAAGCGTTCAAGTGGCTCCTTGTTCTCGCTGGAGCAATTACGACGACTTCTCACGCCCAGAACTTTCGGGACATTGATGGAGATAGAATCACCGGTCGAAGAACAGTGCCCTTGTTAATCGGAGACGGAAATGCTAGGTCTGCCCTGGCAGTGGGAATCATAGGCTGGACAGCGTTGTCCTGTTGGTTTTGGGATGTTGGCTCGGCTGAGCGCTCATGGCTTTCCTGCATCCCCGCGTGCGTTGCGGGCACCATAGTGGTTTTGGGGTTTTACTGGAACAAAGCTCGTGCAGGAGATCGAAGGGCTTGGAAGATTTAAGTTCCGGAGAGCTTTAGAATACAATAAGACTGTGAATGATGTGTGTGGGCAACTCAATGTTGTTGTGACAGCAGGTGATGTTTGTTTCTTAGTGCTTGGATTAAGATGAGGGGGAGAAGAAGGAGACGAAGACGAGAAGAGAAGAAGTGTGGGGGCAAGTGCGAAGTGCATTCCAAACTCAGCCCCCCAGATCGGTGCTCTTGGTGAGCTTGTCTTGTAGGCTGCACAAGGCAGAATTGATTCCTGTCGAGCGTTACAGTTATCCGTTACTGTTGCACATATGGCACCCGCACCACTCCAGACTCTCTTATTAACAGCTCCCCGGTACTCGGGTCTCTTCAAACTGGATGTCCCTTCATAATCGATGAGTCCTTCATGCAGAACATCACCAAAATTCGATTCTTTCTCCCTTCTCAGACAGAGAGCGTATCTAACTTATGATTCTCTCCCATCATGACACTCCCATTAGGAGCTGTGCAGCTAGCTGTGGTCTCATTCATCGTGGGCCCCATGGCTATCATCGCTGTGGCGCTAAGACTGTGGTCCAGATATCTACAGGGAAGGAAGCTGGCTGCAAATGATTACTTGGCATTGGTAGCATTGGTATTGGCTGAATCTGCTTTGTCCGTGTTTCTGGCAGGTAGGCTTCCCGGACTCTTGAGTCCCCTCGAAATGATGAGATAACGGTTTGAACTCACATTTGACCCAATCTAGCTGGCTTTGCTGCTGGCTTGGGAGTTCATTTAGATGAGCTCTTAGCAAGAGAACCTCAAAAGTTTGCCCTGCACATGAAGGTGGGTTAATGGATGATAGAATATTTCCTACCCTGTTCGGTATAATATCGACTAATTTTACTTCACCATTGGTTTAGCTTTTCGTGCCTGCACAGCTGCTGTGGGCAGTAGCGAACTCGTGTGTTAAGGCTTCGATATTGTACCTCTACATCGACCTCTTTCCCAATAAGGTCTTTTGCCGTTTGTGCTATGGCACCCTGTTCACCACTGCCGCATACTTCACCATGGTACTGCTCGAAACCTTCGCGCTTTGCAAACCGGTCCAATATAACTGGAATAAATCGATTGAAGGACATTGCACTGGTGAAAATATTGCTTACCTCGTTGCTGGCATTGTCAATCTCACCATTGACACTTTCATTGTTATTCTACCGATGCCTTTGGTTTTCAACTTACAACTGATTTTATCAAAAAAGATTGCCGTCTCTGCAATGTTTAGCCTTGGCGTGTTGTAAGTTTACTCTTTCGCTTTTGTTTGTTTCTTGCTTGCAGAGCAGGTTACTTACTATGAACACACTTACCAGGATTTGTGTTATTTCTTTGTTGAGAGTCGTTTGGTTGTGGACTTGGAATCTAGCTGACATGACCTACACCGTTACACCCGGTGCCATTTACTCGGTATTGGAACCAAACCTTGGCGTTGTAAACGCGTGTTTACCCACAATAAAACCTGCTATCAACGAGCTCTTTGGGTCGTACGTACACCTCCTGTGCTACTTGACTGTTTGACAAGGATCCTTGATGTCGCTCTTGAAAGCTTCAAGCTGACACTCAATAGTTGCACGCTCCATGGTGCGAAAGGTAGTTCCAACAGCGGTGGTGTTTATAGTAGCAGATCCAGTCGAAAGCTCAACGGAAAAGTGAAAGGCAACCTTACTCGGGATTTCGAGCGGCTTGATGATGAACTTGCACTACATGAGGTGCACATCAACAGTCATTCAAATGTTGGTCTCATCAGCGGTGACCACAAATCGTCGAGTCCAAGTTTACCTTGAATGAAGGGGGAAGATCCAATGGCTCAAATTCACTATTGCAATCAAGTCGGGCGTGTCCTGATGTACCATTCTGTAATACCGTCGTATCTAAGCCTGATTTCCCCAGTTTGGGTTAGGCGCTGCGATAGATGCTACTCATTATCTTTTGTTTGCTTATGCATAATGCTTGCTTGTGTTAACGTTTTTACCCCTCGGCCTCTTTACTGGCTGGTTACATAGCCGAGCCAAGTTGGAAGTATTTAGCGCCGGATCAGCAGTAGTCTTGCTGCATGTAGACGTATCTAGTAAGTTGTGTTCCTTTAGTTCTCTACTTCTTTCCGGCCCCACTTCCCGCTCCAAAGAGTAACGAAGCACAAATAATTCTCTCATTGGTTCTGACTCTGATGTCTTTACTAAATTGTACTAAGCACTACGAAAATGGAGAACTCCCTTCGCAGCATTGGAAAGGCGCCATGTAGTGCGACCTCTTAATTTGAATCGAATTTGACTCATTGCTCTGCTGAAAGAAGGCTCTCTGAGGTTAGCCGGAATCGGAGAAATTCAGATGAGACAACGATACGAAGCAATCAGGTATATTAAAAAGTGTCCTATAAAAGAGCCTGCATAGGCCTTAACTATGAGTTCCTTGCTGACTAAATTGAGTCTTTCATAGTTATTTATATAAACTATATCCACTAGATATACTGAGAATTGATGTTAAAGTTTGAGATAAAAATTCATGACGTAAGTAGAACTGGAGAATATTTTTTCAATAAATATGTTTAAAAGTTGTGTTCAACAATAGTTTTTAGATCTACTGTGCAATACTATAGCTCTAATATGTATCCAGCTACACTGGTCGGTTCATGAAGAAAACCGGGACGAATAGCGCAATTCTGTTACGTCGTTGGCTCACTGTAACTAAGGCATGTCTGTACACAAAAGGGGAACAGACTGTATCCTGCGCTGGGCCAACCAGAATTATATTACCTCCAAAAACGCCAAGACTGGTCTACTGCTCTAAAATTCCATTGCGTTATATGAATAATCTGGGATTATGCTCTAAAAGCTGGTTTATCCCGGCATAGATTGAAGTTGTTATTCCAATATATCATTACATAATTGAAGGATTGGGACAGGATGATTCAAAATCCAATTAGCTTATATTTCTATGATATTTATGTGGAGACCTTTCATAATAGTCTGCTATATTTTCTCTATATTAGATGTCATTTATATACTCTGAAGAAGAGCTGACAGTCTAGACAAGAAGATCCTATCGTTGAAATAGATGATGGAAAAAAAAAAAAGTATTACCTGAAAGGCTGATCTGGGCAAGTAAAACAGAGTTCGTAGATAGTATATAGGTACTTGTCCTCAGTGGACCTTTCCTTTCTTGGCTTGGGCTTCATATAGCTCAAACTAGGTTGTGCATCTTCTACTGACAGGTTTATTCCAGAGACCTATCTAATACTAATGGCCCTTTTCGTTACTACCCCATCGCTTTCTCTTTCCTCGTCTTCCTCCACCATCTCATGCCGACTCGTCATCCTTCATTCTGCTGTAATATGTTCTGCTCTTGGAATACAACAGCCTCCCTGGGGAGGTATTTGGCGAGGATAGCGGTATCCCAGTAAAGCCAGACCTCCTTGAATTGCAACACATCCAGAGCATCGGCAGAGTTCGCGGGGCCTATAGTGCTTATCCAACTGAGCGGAAAGGCAACAGTCGGCTCTTCGGTGTCGTTTCCAGGCAGCCAGATGTTGCGGGTCTACTGGGACATGATCGTGGTTGTACCGTCATCATTTCTGACTTCCCAAAGATTGTGAAAGTCGTGCCGGAGACCCTTGAATTGTCCAAATAGGCGTTTTATCCACGCCCACATCTCATCCCCACCATTGTAATGGGTGGTGTTCTGGTTGTGGAGAATGACATTTTTGGAATAGAATCGTAAGCCTGAGCCATGGTTGAAGCCATAGGTGTCAACTGTATCAACATAATCTTTAAAATGCTGTTGAGCTGGGGTCTGTGGTCCGGACGTATGCCAGGTAGATGCGGAAATACAGCTTTCCAGCTGGGGCATGGTTTGAGAAAAGAGGCAAATGAAAAGAACTGCCGTGTAGAAGGAAAGCGCCCCCTTGTTTGATCCGTATTGATGTGTAGTTATTCGCAAGCATCTTATAGATAGTAAATAGGCCTCATTACCGGGAGCCGAACGGACTGTGCTGTTATCGCAGTACATGATTCGTCATGTTGCCGAGGCACAAGATTTCTGGTATCTTTATGATTGGCTTTAAGGATACTACAAAGCAGTGTTCTCAATAGCCGATGTCACCAACCTATAGATGAATTCCTGTGGGTCGAATATTCCCTCCCGAGGTCAATGATCAGTAATCCTAACCACCCAATTCTTCGCCGATATCTGGGTTGCAGTTCTAATAAAATGAGTCCAGCTTTCACATAAGTTCCTCGAAAAATATTTTGAAGTGTCTTTGTTCAATTTTCTTCACCTACCAGAGTCAATTATATTGGAACTCTCTATATTATGGGTCTCGACTACAAAGTCTTCACCAGCAGACGTTCGGGTGTGAGCCGGACCACACCAGCTGGTCATGATCATCTCAAGTGGGTGCCGACTACTTCGACCTTGGTATTTGGCCAGAGAGATGCAGTCCTGGTCGATACCCAGTTAACCATGGATGCTGCGAAAGACTTGGTAGACTGGGTAGTAGGAACTGGGAAAAACCTTACGACGATTTATATCACTCACGCCCATGGCGATCATTTCTACGGTACCAGTGCCATTCTTGAAAGGTTCCCGGACGCAAAGGTCGTGGCTACGCCGGAGACTGTGTCTGGAATGACAAAGGCCATATCCCCGGAAGGCCTGGACTCATTTTGGAGAAGTCGTTTCCCTGGGCAGATCCCAGACAAGCTGGTAATCGCTACTCCGCTCGAACAGGACCACTTCATGCTGGAAAACGAGCGATTGGAGGTGGTCAGGTTGGGGCATACGGATACAGATGATACAACAGCTCTCTGGGTTCCTGCAATCGGCTTGGTTGTTGCGGGCGACGCAGTCTACAACAATACCCACCCATACCTGGGAGAATCAAAGTCTCAAGAGGCCAGATCGCGCTGGGTGGCAGCGCTCGATAAGATTGCGGCCCTTCAACCAAGAATTGTTGTCGGCGGCCATAGTGATCCATCTAAAGAATTCTCCCCGGATGCCGTCCAAACAACCAAGGATTATTTGAATGACTTCGCGCGATTGGATGGACAAACATCCACCCCCGAGGAATTATATTCGCAAATGATGGAACTTCACCCTACTAGATTGAATGTTGGCTCGCTATGGGGAGGTGCAACACTAGTGAAGAAATGATTTAAGTGTGGTCTCAATGTTGATTGAGTAACTAGTGGCCCCCTAGTGACCTGGTATATGCACCGTGATGGCATGAGCTTAGCATGATTAAGAGAATATTATAGAAAGCATGAGACGATAAGCACGAAAAATATACTCCGGTGTTACCACCAAGAGGGATGTATATATGCGCACTGAGTAGCAGAGGTCGCTCTTCGCAACCCTCTGCGCATGTGCTAGAGATTGCAAACTCGAAGTCTTAGAATGAATCCCATGCCCCAAATCACTGATACATACGACTGGGCTGCCGTTTTATCAGATAAATACTTTCTAACCTTCAAGTGTAGTACAATCGACGAAAAATGGTCCTCTATATTTGATATAGTAGGCTCGTTAATTGACTTTTTAAAGACATGAAGTAGCACAGGCAAAGAGGACAAAGTCAGGGTTCAATCCTATATCTTCCTACATACCAAGGTCGGATGACCGAACTCCAATGGCTGCACCTGTCGTGTCTTGGGAGCCAATAGTGTCGAACACCACTCAGCTAGTCGTAGCAAATAGATGAAAATTAGCCACTTCCGTGGGATTAAGATTGAAATATTCCAGTTGATCTAGCAGCTGAATATTTCAGGTAGTACGCACCCCGTGAGTCATGATCACACATGGTGACTTCCCAGTTTGGGGATAGAACCATCCTCGGAGAACAGTACCGTCACAAGCTCGGAACTCAATGTTTTCACGAGAGGGGACCATTGTTACAGGTGTAAATTTGGACGCGAAAGATCATTGAGCTGGGTGCTTCAATGTAATGAACATATTGACAGAGGCGATGGTACAATGTTCATTCCCTTTCATCTGGGAGGCCTCGGTTAATAACAGATAAGCAATCCATTGTCAACCCTTCCCAAGCTTGATTAGAATATTTTAGCCGACCGAGGCTGCTCATAGTATGAATCAGGTTTTATAAGACGCGGTACTCTACAACACTACTACAAACTGGATCTGCCTTGACTGGTCTTTGAAAGTACGTTGCAATGGGTTAAACTAAAAGATGTATCTGAATCACGACCTTCTAAGTCTGTTCAAGACATATTTGCCACTGCAACTTCATTCTGGGACTGGCATACCATCCTTTAATCTGTTGGATGTGCTAGGCACATATTCAGTTGACACCAACGTCTTGACAAGTGATGCTCACGCTTGGCTTGTTTATTAGATCCCTTTGGATTTGTTCAGTCGTAATCAACACACAGATAGAGGTTTCCCAGAACGATTTGAAGCTTTTCAGCGTCATGGCATACATAGTTCGGTTACCGATCCAGGCTGACGAGGAGGTAGATACAGCCGAACTAACCACAAGCTACTCCATAAGGTAGGGCCCCCAAGGCGACGGCTCGTTGTCATGGAACCACCTCTTCTCATCCTCAGACCCAGTAGGAGGGATTCTGAAACCATTGACGTGGACAAATTCGCGCTCAAGCTCCTCACCGTTGACCTCCCAGTTGTAGCCTTCGTCTGCAATAAACGGCTTCAAAGTCTCATGTACTTTATTCATGAAACGAGTTCGCATAGGGCTCTCTCCCGGAGGAAAGTGCCTTGCGATATGGCTGAATGTAAGCCTAACAAAAGGCTTCGTCCCTTCCCCCGACTTCTCAAACACATCGTGTCAGTAACTAGATTATCGCTGGGTTCCTCGCCAACTTACGCATGAAATTCCGGCTCGGTACATAGTAGCGGGTGGCATCTCAATAAATAGGACAACCACATAAAATGCCGGCAACCCAACGTCGGTATACATCGAAGTTATTCCCTTTGACAAGTTCTCCCTCTGATCGGGACTTGTGAAGGTCCCGGTCGGATGGTATATCCTCCAATCCGGCATCTTGTGTAGGTGATTTGGGATTTATGCAAGGTAAAGGAAATGTGTGTCTCGAAGATGTCACCAATGTAATTGACAGAGCAATTTCAAATAACATATACTGGTGCTTCGTTAGTATCAAATATTCCTACTACGTTGTAATATAAGTTTTGTCCATGCAGGGGGGAGGTAAGCATATTTTGCCAGTGATTACTGAACAATCCCGAGATTTGCTTCGACATACATACTAAAGTGTATACGAGCTAGTACGAATAATTATGAGCACCGACTAACTATCATGTCCGAATTCCGAACATCTCTCGCTCGGCTAAGATCATTAATCTTCATTCAACGTCAAAGTGGATCCCAATTGATTAGTCGTTCCGGCCGACCCAATGAAACACCCGGGATTCCCACCGACTGACTCAAGATATCTAAAACAGCCTAAACTGTATTAGATTGTCTACATTGAGTATCGCGACAAATGATAGACCCCCATTGAACTCCGGTATTCAAAGCATCTCGGTGGCGCACGTTCTGGTGACTTATTTCCCTAGCGCAGTTAACAGGTTATTGTCATACGGCGGCCTACAATAGGGTTCAGGGCCAGTAGGTATCAAGTTGGGCGACACTCGGTGATCGGCTCCTTCCATGCCGCTTATAAATCACCGTCTCCAATGTCTATTGACGATCTGAAACCGACTGATCGGCTTCCAGTTGTGGCGTACCATGGACGGGCCACGACGGCGTGGAGACACCAGGCGGAATGAACTTGGCATACGTGGGTATTGAATATGGAGAGTTTGTCAACGAAGTTCCCTAGTCTAGGTTGTCAGTCATTTCGGGTTATAGTCCGGTTGCCACTCGACTGAGCTGTGGCTATAATTCAAGGACATTTAGTTTTGTGTTTGGAAGGTGTCTCAGTATCGAAGAATCCGTATTAGTGCCTTGACGGTCTGGATATGCCGGGTTGGCCATCTATTCTTCTTTTTACATGATTAGAAAGCTCAATGAAAGCGTTACTATATTTTTGAGCTTTTCATTAGAAATATCATTTCTACTAAATGATAATACAATCAAGTCCGTACCGACAGGCAAAACTTGTGCCAACAGAAAAACTGACAATATAATGAAAAAAAAGAACCACATAAACTAGGTAACAATATGAGTAACATTCGGTTTGCGGTAGATATATATGCTGTCTGCTAACTCGTGATGTCTGTCAGGTGGCTGAGGGAACTTCACCAGACAGATGGGCACCAGCACAGCCCCAACCCAAGACCATAGGATTAAACCTATTAGGATACTTCGCAATCATAGCAGAGTACAATTCGCTTACAGTCTGAGGTTTCTGTTCCAACAAACCCATGAAGTCTCGAATATACTTCTTGGTTGCTTCCAGATGCCATATGCCATCCATTTCATCCGCATTCCGGTGACCTGGCACCACATAGACGGGATTAAGTGCCTCAACCTTCTCAACCGCTCTGATCCATTCTTCTCGCTTCTCTGGGGTGTTCGCTTCGAAAAGCATTTGGTGAACATCGCCATATACCACATCTCCACAGACGGCCAACCGCAGGTCTGGGACCCACAGTACAGTTGAGTCAAATGTGTCGGAATGGCCGCACTCAATTGCCTCGAAAACCCATCGGCCTTCTAGTAAAAATTTATTATTGCTTGGGAGAGCTTCCGGTAGCCGGTGCTGGGTAGAAAGTTGATCTCCCGGGAAAAACGCAAGCCACGCCGAGAACCCCTCTTCGGAGATTTGCTGCTCGATATGACGGACAGTCGCCTTGGTTGCTACTGCTTTCGCTTCTGGAAAGTGCTGCAACAGCAACGGGAGGCCAAGGAAGTGGTCCGCGTGGCCGTGGGTGATATAGATATAGGAGAGCTTTCGACCCGGTGCAGTCTTCTCGATCCATTCGACCAAGTCCTTGTTCTGGTTGATTGTGATCGCAGTATCAACAAGAACAGCTTCATTCTCCGAGTAAATCAGAGTGCAGGTTTCGGGAGACCATGTGGTATTCTGCCGGTGTGAAACATGGTCGACACAAGGGATTGGCGGCACCGTATGAACAGACACTCTCAAACTAGACATGATGTTCCAAGTATCACCTCTGAGGAGTCAAATATACGATCAGAAGAAATGGAATCGATGGTCCTTAGCAAGGGGTCGGGAGCATGCGAATTTATGCTCTACTTGGCTCGTATTATTTCTGTTGAACATCCGATCCTCCGAACCCACCTCGGACTCGGACTGAATCATTCATCAACATAACTATGTAGCTACCTGAAGACGCAATAGAATGCGATTCTCCGGCCCCCAGACGAACCGGGCCCCCGCCAACTTTGATCATCTCAACAACCCGCCGGACCCATCAACTCAACCTCAAGATGAGACGGGCTTGGTGGGTCACGTCTAACTAGTCAAGTGGCGCAAGTCTCGGAACCTTTAAAAACGATCACTAATCTTTCCGTTATCCTAGCCGATTCAATATGTACAGGTTCTTGGCAGTCCACCTGATTAACGCAGATCTTATACCAGTGATGATCTACAAATTAAGGACAACGGAAAATACTACAGCAATAATATGATTTCTAGGTATGCGATAGTTTCGCGCAACGTTTGGTAGGCGGCCGATTATGGTGAAATATTTGAGTTATGTCTCTAAACTACTTAGAGATACCCGTCAAAATAATTGCCGACGGAATGTACAAGGCCACCACCAACCTCGCAGAGATTGGTCTTGAGAGAATGAATAGGTGTCACAATGTCGTAGAACGGGAAATTCTGACATTTGGACTAATTATTCTATACAGGCGCCCATAATTTTGTGCTGAGAGATATACAATCGTGACTGACAATTTTAGACTTAGTGTGGGAGGAACAGTACAAATCTAGGACAACATAACTGACATTACACCCAAACCCACTATGGGGTTTATACCCAGAAAGTAGCTAAATTACATGTAATTTGTTCACAGTTGTAATAATCCGAGTTAAATAACTGTAAAACGAAACGACTGACTGCAGCTTGCCTGACGACAGACCTGATCATGCCAAACAACCGAAGGCAAAAAGAGCCATCTATCAACTCTGTTCTTGAAATAGCTTGCAAATGAGACTGATGTTTCAGCCACAGAGCCAGGCTAAGCGCCTTCCCAAGCGACCGGCTTGTTTTCCTTCGCCCAAATCTTCTCCGCATCACTTCCAAACGGAGGAGGAACTAATCCATTGACCCGCCATAGCCTCCTTTCCGTCTCATCGACATGAAATTCCCAATCGTAACCTCTATCGGCAATATGAGGCTTCAAGGCTTTGTCAATCGCGTCGCATGTAGATTTATAAGTTTGGTCGTCATTTTCGAGTCGAACGGCGATGTGGTCAGCAATAATTCGAATAAACGGTGTCCCCGTTCTGATTTCAGCGCCGACCCAGGTATCTCCCGGGGGGAGCTTCATAAAGTTGATGACCACATAGAAGGCAGGAAGACCAATTCCGGTGTATATCTTGGTGATGTCTTCAGTCAAAGCTTTCTTGGAAGCGGTGTCCTCGAAAGTGCCGGAGGGGTGAAAAATGAGCCAAAGGGGCATTTTGAGTAAGTATGTGGTTATAAGCGGAAAACTTTAGTAGGGTCTCAAAGTAGATAATGGCAGGGCCAGGAAGAGAACTGATACAGATGTTAAACTACGAGGACTTTGCCGTCAAACGTTACCTTATAAATGTAGCTGAGCCCATCCCAAGCTAAAGTTCCTTTCCCCATAATACCTGGAGTTGCTTCTTACATGGGTCATTGAATACCTGAGGGCATGCCCCCACATACAGCTGGTAATCCCCTCGGCTTTTCTTGATACCTCAGAATGCCGATCATGCTGGACAGTGGGTATTTGGATGCGAATACGGCCTCGGAAGGAGCTCGGAGAAATTCATAGATACGATGAGCGACGGATCGATAGGTAATCATTGCTGGATAGATCAGTAATCAAATAATAAGCGTCCTGATTAGATAGATAGGCCGATACTAACTGCCCAAGGCAGACAGTCCTTAGCTGGCATTTCTATTCACCCCTTTATATTACTCACAGCACTATAGTAGGGTTCATTCTTCGGCTTCCTCCCACCCGAGATCCTTCCAGCGAGACTAGCCCATCCTTTCTCTCAAATACATGTATTGGAAAACAGATTTTAGGTGAAAATCGACTCAAACAAAGTTTCTTCACAATGCCTATCCGCGATGTGGCATTCAAAACGTCTGACCACCTCACACTTCGAGGTTGGGTCTTCACTCCCAGCTCCTTCGATGGAAAGCTTCCGTGTGTGGTAATGGCGCACGGCTTTGCGGCCCATAAAGAATTCAACCTAGGTAGCTTTGCGGAGTATTTCACTTCGAACCTGCCAGTCGCTGTAATTGCCTATGATCATCGTTGTATCGGAGCCAGCGATGGAGAACCAAGACGAGAAATCATCCCTGCCTTACAAATAAGCGACTATTCCGATGCTATCACTTTTGCACAATCTCTTCCAGAGGTTGCCGCCGACAAAATTGCTATCTGGGGAAGTTCATACAGTGGAGGTCACGTTCTCACAGTTGGCGCGGTTGATCGTCGAGTTAAAGCTGTTATTAGCCAAGTGTAAGTTTAACCTATAATCTTACGTCTGATCTGGTCCTGGCTAAAATTTCATGCGTGTGAATAGCCCTCTCACTAGTGGATGGGATACTTTCCATCGTATACACAGAGCTGACTTCGTTCCGAGCCTAAACAAGTTATTCGAAGACGGTCAGTTTCCTATCCCTTTAATAGATACAATTCTAGTGAGAAAACGCCTGTCCTGCTGACGAGCTTGAAACCGGGGCCGTAGATCGCCTTGCTCGTGCCAGAGGAGAAGAGCCGGCTCGGGTGCCCGTGGTAGACAAAGATCCTCACGCCTTTTCCGTTCTTCCTTCAGAAGACAGCTATATCGGCTACAGCTCAGGAATACCATTCGGATGGGTAAATGACGTGACACTGAAGAGGTATGTGGCACAATTTGTTTCTGAGTAACTGGAATGTAGAGAATGGGTCTAACCATAAACAAGCCTCGAGGCATTCCGAGCATACGAACCTTCGGCGCTTATTGAACGTATCAGCCCTACTCCGTTGTTGATGATTGTGATGGATAATGATGTTGTCACACCTACCGACCTTGCGCTTGGTGCTTTCGCAAGAGCAAAGGAACCCAAGCAATTACACATTCTGCCGGGAGGACATTTCGACCCATATAATGGGCAACTCTTCGACGAAAATGCACCGGTACAGGCCAGGTTTCTACAAGAGCATCTCCTAAAGTAGGATAACAGTTGAACTGTTCTGATCATCTGCTGGTTATTTGGTACGTCCGCTATTTGGACTGTGTGTATCGTCAAACAGCTACTACTAGAAGATATGAAGCCGTTTCAGGCACCTGACCTCATAAAAAAAGGTGTGTTTGTACAAGAAATCATCTTGCCTGTCCTTTCTTGACCAATCTCTATGCTCGCCTGACTGGACCGAGAAGTTGAACAGTGTTCTGAAGCTATCATAGATCATGTAGAGTCGGGCCTGCGTGAAGCCTCTTCATCTCCGCTTCCACAACTCTTTCCATGCCAGTACAAAGCGTCCCGTTGTGTGGTCCGGTATAACAAGTTTCAAGAATTAACGTAATTGATCTAAATCCATTCAAAGAATTTCTTTCTGAATCAGACTAACTGGCAGAGATTGCTCTTCTCAATCCGCTTCCCTGCCTCCATACTTGTCAGGATCAACCATACGTTCCTTCACCCATGAGTTAATCGCATCCATATCACGACATTGAACCTCAGAGCTCCATGAAGCATGAAGTCTCACCTGCCGTTCCATAGGGGTCATATGTAGGTAGTCCTCCGTATACCGCTCTGTGCCGTCATCGTCAATATACGTATAGTTGGGATCCCACCAGTAGATTAACGAGATGTCACCATGACACAAAATAGCCTGGCGAATGGCATCAAAGCAATGATCTGCGTTATAATTAGTTGGGTTATGACGAAGGAACAATATGGGGAGCATGATAATACGAACTCTTATGTATCTCAACCTGCTCCGCAGACATATTTGGATAGAAAACATCCGGATAAAATGATTTTCGAAGGCGATTAAGACAATGTAGTTGATGGTATACCCCTAATCCGTACACAAGATACCCGGGATCATTGTATAGCTCCACAGACTCTGGCAAGCCATGCTTCTTGGCTGTCTCTATATCCATCTTAAATCCATTATCGTTCTCTGCAGCTGGTTAGCTTCCCAATAAACGAGGCTTTTCGACTCCGGTGGTCCTACCTAATGCCCAGCTTGTCCATGGATCTTCTTTCCCCGCAACAATTGGGGACTGAAATTCAGGGTCCGGCTCATATTTCATGTTGACATACTGAACGACGCCATCGTCACGCAACGGAGCTTGTTTTTCATTATCAGTCTTTATTCCTGGATTCATGTCCTTTTCTACACTTACAATATGGAGGATTGGGCCCCGTATGGAAGGAATATTGTCTTTGGAGTAGATGTATAGCACCAAACAAAAGAGCCACCAGACATATGTTCACACACACGAGGACCGGAACACAATAACTGAATCTTTGTCTAGATTCCTCCCTAGGCAATTGGTATGGCTCTGGGTGGAGAAGACCAGCCTTTTCAGTAGCCTGCTCCTCATCATCATCGGTCTCCTCTTTCTGGGGTTGGGAAATATTAACATTCATCAATGAAAAAGCCATTGATTGGCCGTAGGGATACGCTGATTTGTGGGTGATACACGTTGAGAGATACCAGGTTTGCGCATACGAGAGACCTTTTTAAGAGGAATAGAGGCATGGGGAACGTTATGGGCTTGTCGGCGCAGTAAATTGCAGGGTTCCGATCGCTAAAGGAAGATTACACATCATCTGTATGAATTGCACCACCTGAGCACTTAAGCAGATCGACAACCTCTGTCACACTTTCAACATATCACAATTGTCACCCTATCCCTGACATGTATGCGGACCCGTCCTTTCACATCCCCTTTAGGCAAATGTCGTTTCCTCCTAACTTCTCTTCGTGCGGGGTTATGAGCCCCCTACCTATATCTCCGACTAATTCCTACATATGCTTACTACGCACCCTGCCGTTTAGCCGTGTAACCGTATAGGAAGCCAGGGGTTGAGACATCGACACCTGACAGTGATCACAAAAGGTAGGGTCAACATTACTTTGTTCAAAGTCCACAAGGGCTTCTAGCTATGTTGGGGTCGTTCGGAGACGTGGTCGGGTGATCGTTTACAAGTGAGGGGTTGGATTATCTCGGATCAGAAACCTCTTTGACGGAGTTGATGCAATGCAATGGATAGAGGGTAAATGCATCGAGATTTTTGTAGAAATTAATGAATGGGAATATGGGAAAATCTCTCTTTATTCACAAACCAGTAACCTCATAATGTAAACTTTGCTTCTATCCTGCTGCATAGTGCGGTTTGGATAACATGAGCATTACTCGACATTCAAGCTTATTAGCATAAGTTCAATGTCATCATAAACTTATTTATGAACACATAGGTCGCGCATTGTGCTTCACCTGACGATTTACGAGGGAGTTAGATTCACTTGTGTTGTAGTTGGTGAGACAAGTATGGGCCTTACGTACTTCGGCATGTAGCACAGTAACACAATAGCACGACTAGGACATTGGGGTACTTGCGGATCAAGAGAACAACTGTTCATGCATGTAAATTCCCTCAGTATATCTCGAATCCCGACACAGTGCATCGTTTGGGTGCCGCAAATATAAATATGTGCACTCTACAGACTCCTCTCAGTTTAATCTACAACCATCGAACCCAGCCATCCAAACTTTCAAAGCATTCATACAACCTGCTTTGATAACCCGAAGAATTATACCAAATCACTACACTCTGCCATCCTCAACATGCGTTTTACTCCTGTCTTTGCTATGCTTGCACTTCTCGGCACCGGCGCAATTGGGGCTGCCGTGGGGCTTCCCCCTCAAGAACCGGACAGCCATCAGCAACTGTCGCCTGCTAGCGACAGGCCCGAAGATTTTGACAAGCGGCTTTTCAAGGGTAACCTCCTGTATCGTGACGTTGATGAGAATGAACCTGAGCGTCTTAACAAGCGCGTCTTTGGTGATATCAAATATCGCCAGCTCGATGACACCGACCCTGGGAGTCTGGACAAGCGTCTCCACAGGGCCATCGTCTACCGGAAGTCTGATGACACTGAACCTGAAAGCCTCGACAAGCGTAAATATGCCAATCTCAACTATCGCAGTTCCGACGAGACCAATCCTGAGAGTCTGGACAAGCGGCTTCACAGGACAATTGTCTACCGCGACTCTGACGACACTGAAATGGGAAGTCTGGACAAACGTCTCCACAGGGCCATCGTCTACCGCAAGTCCGATGAGACCGACCCCGAGAGTCTGGACAAGCGTGTCTTTGGCGATATCAAATACCGCCAGCTTGATGAAACCGATCCTGAGAACATTGACAAGCGGCTTAACAAGGGAAATATCTACCGCAGAGAGGCTTGATCAGCTACCGACAGGTTGGCTTGAAGTCCTTTATAGGTAAGTTATTTCTCTGTCACTATATATGCCCTTCTGTTACGTATTTGCACGAGTAACTATGCCGCTGAGAAAGTTGATTTCATGTTAGTGAAATACCGGCCTCGGTTCCATCAAGAGGTTGATTTGCATCAACAGGTCACAATGATCGCCTACCCATCACCGTTAAGAATGTAATGCTGGGTCTATTCCTTGGGTAAATGATGATGGTCTATTATCAAGCACTAGTCACGTCGCTTCATCGTGTCATACTGTCGTTTCTTCTAAAACTACAAGTCTATCCACACTCTACATGTTTAGTATTCTATACTTTAATAGAGTCAATCGGAAGCCAAACGTTAATGCGTAAGTTATTATGCCGAACATTTCAATTAATCATACCCATATGATTAAAGCTTGCCACACACAAGAATTAGGTACCAGTGAGTATTTCCAAACTGTTTTAGAATTGGCCCAACGCGTCCGGCATGTGCAAGTGGTACTATTGGGCTAGACGTGTTAAGGGTTTGTCTTCTCTAAATTTTCTCTAGGCTTCTAAACGATATGTAATGCCATCGAGGATTGGTCTGGGCTTGCTATTATTCACTACAGCCCAGATGCGCGTCGAGCTATAATATATAGCGGGCGATCTAGTATATACTATAAGTAATATTCCCAACCAATATGATACATCTTCAATGTAGATGTGCATTATAAAAATCGGCACACCCAGAAGGCAAGAATAGAAACTACGGATCACAAGCAGCATTCTAGCCAAATGCTACGTATCTAGAGGCACATCCCCACACGCTCAAATATCCGGGAATTGCGGCATTTTGAAATCAAAGATGATGACCATGTTGATGATGGTACTGATGAGGATGCCTTTTCTACGGATATATTAGCAAGGGATATGGTAGAAGTCCAGAGCATGACGTGGTAAACATACATGCAGAGCAGGAGTTTCACCGGCATTTGCGGAAAAGACAGAGCTGGCGCTCGGTGAAGCTAGCGCAGCTACAGATGAGCCGCCAGATGGTGTAGCAACATGGCTATGGCCATCGCAAACACCATACATAAAATGCTGAGACGAGAATGTTGATAGAGGACTGCCCTTGTGCAGCTGGCATTCGCCCCCTCTCACGCTGTAGAGCCAAGACGTGCATTCGGCAAGGCTATCGCAGTAGCTTGCACATTGTGAGCCGGTTTCGTAATTGGTAGTAAAGGCGAAGGGGGCACCGCTGAAAATACCCATTGTATTTGCGGAAATATGATCCAGGCAGCTGGCATATGTGTTACTGACAGTGGCGAACAGGAGGGAAATGAAATAGCTAGAAAGCTTCATCGTGGGTTAACGTAATGGCGGTTAAAGTGGCAGGTTTGTCTGTATGGTAAGAATGTAGGGAATGTGGGATGAGTAGTAGTAATTGAGGAACATATATCGGAGTAGAATGAGACTGAAAACACCGCATGGAAGAGAAGGAAATGGGAAAGTTCTGGTTCGATCCCCAGGCTCTGTTTCTCACCCTGTCCCGCTCGACTTCCAGATGACCCCAACAAGGTATTATGCCTAGCGATATGCCCGATCAGGGTCTTAGCCTTAGCACCGGAAGTGTGATCTACTTTGGGACTAAGTCTATGCTCGGTAAAAACCCTTTCTGTCCAGAGAAAAAAATTTATCCGTAGTCCCTGGTATTAGATTGCGGAGCTGCGGCTCTAGGACAGGCGAACACTCGTTTGGGGTTGAGGTCTCCGCTAGCATTCGATAGTTCCATGAAGCACAACGGTGGCGAGATAAGGGAAATTAGGGTCTCAGGTGAGGCCTGTCCTCTAAGTGGGGGCTCGCCGCATCGGCGCGATCCAAACGCTGAGCTAGGCACGGCGCCGGCTGTAGTTGACATGAGCGCCGAGAAAAGTAAACACTGGTTGCGTTATTTTCCAGTTGAAAAAATTGATATGGAGCGCAGTTTATCGTCACTGTGGCAATTAAGCGAACCTTTGCTTCAAAACGCCAACAGCATTTGTGACGTGAGGTGTAGTCCAGAAAGTATGTTGCTACTAGCCAAGAGAAGACAAGCTCTGCTAAGGCTTTATTGTCCGCGCCGAACCCTTGGCGTGCCCCGCATGGATATCCGGCCGACGCACACTCCAAGAGGCCTGAACCCTCCCTCGTCCCCCTTTTGAAGCGAAGGTCCTTGTCTCATACCTCAATTTCAGTAAGTTAGCTATTGGAGTCTTTATGTTTCTGCCTGGAGCGGACTCTCTGGACGTTCCGATTTGCCCACTGACAATAGGTGGGTCGAAATCGGTCGAGTAGTTCATGTACTAAAGGTCGGACGCACGGCCTGGCCCTTGCCTCGGTCGGAGATAACTAGTAGTCAGTTAATTTGGCCACTTTCAAGCAAAGCAACCTTTCTCGTAATTACCATAGTCAAGGAAATTATAGGCTGGGTTATATTGTCTTTGGATAACACTATGTGGTGGATTCATAAAATTGGTTAAACACTAGCGAGAGCTACACAAGCCGGTCGAAGGACTTCATAGACCGCTTAACTGCCCGAGGTACCCACATGGCCACTTTTTCCTAATGTAAAATTCTTGGCCAAAGGGTACTATGTCATCTCCTTGAAATATTCGGAAATCTACATTCAACACCTCAAAATCCGGCTCCAACGCAAGGAGTTTGTCACGAGTAGTAGGGTCTGGTGGCAGTATTTTCGCGCGTAAGCCGTCTGCAGAAGTTGACGGGTCTTGCTCTCTTGACGCAAATCGGAGATACAGCTTTTCCAAGCAGGGTACATCCGTAGGGCAGTGCGTTATCAGACTTTTCAGTTCGGTGTACAGTGCGGATGAGCACTGAAGGAGGCAATGGTCAATGAACAGATGACTGAGCGAGCGTGGAAGAACTTGCCAGAGTGGCGGTACCGGCTTCATGCTTCCATCTTCAGTAAATCGCAAGAGATTACCCCACCGCATACAAACGGTCTCTAACCGAAGGAAGTTCGAGAGAGATCCAAAAAAAACCGGTGGGGGGGTCTTTGCATCTTGCCGGACGTTCCAATCACTGAAGGTCAAACTCAAATGGCGGAGCGAAAAACGAGAGCTCTGCAGAGAGTGGTATAACTGACGTAGGTCTTGCCAGTACTGACTTTCATATTCATGCCAGCCCTGTTGTTGCAGTGTAAATGACTCGAGCGTTGAGCATCTTTTGAGAAGGCAAGGGAGGCTTGGCAATGCAGTTCCAGGGCATTCGAAATCCAGATGGGTGAGTTGTACGGTGGAGAGATCCTTTGGCATGCTAAGTTGAGATCGGTCACAAGGGTTTGAGACGTATAGCTTGCGCAAAGAAGGAATTCGAAGAAAGGGCAGTAATCGAGTCAGGGGAACCGCATCCACTGATAACTCAGATTCCCAGATACAAGGTCCGTTTGTAAGTGAGATATGCCTGAGCTTAGTCAAGATTCCTAACTCAGGATTGCTGGCCCACTCTATAACCCGCTCAAAGTGAGGTGAATGCCTAGGGGGGAACGGTCCGTCCTCATAACCTCCTATCCATACCTCTTCCGGAAGGGCAACCCCAAGCTTCTCAAGATTCACAAGCTGGACTAGCAACAGCGCTAGCCAGGCATCTTCAAAATGGTGGAGCGCCCGATGAAAATCCGTGCGCTCAGAAGATTGCTTGAGGTCTCTGCGCCAAGAAAAGAACTTGCGGCGATGTTTGCGTTTAGACTGTCCATATGGTAACATGAAGTGGCGATATTTTTCTTCGGCCAAAATCTCCAAGGGGGGTAGTTGTTCCCATTTCCCCTCCTTACAGTCGCTAGGATAAAGCTCCAAAGATCGAATCAATGGAGCAAGTGAAGGGTTTGTTATCATCACTTGAGTGAATCGACGGACAGGAAGAAGTGATTCGGGCATGATTCCGTACGCAGAACCCAGATGGTCGTATTCATTGAGAGGGAGCGAGACGTGGTGATATAAATGGGGAATAAACGCAGTGTACCATGCCTTACATACAAGAACCAATCGAGTGTAGTCAGGTGGGGTAAAGAAAGGTATAATATGAAGCAAAATCTCGCTCGGGATTTGAGCAAGCATTTTGGACGATATGTAGAAGATACGTGTAGCAGAGGAGGAAGCGACGAAGACGAAGTAGATAGGAGAATAGTTCAATCATTTAAGTAGCCGATGCGGGGCGACGGAGCAGCCTAATTATCCGAGCTGGTTGGGTCAAGGGCTCGGAGCAGGGAATTAGGGTCATAGGATCATAGTAATGTTGGTAATAATGTAGCTTAGTATCAGAAAGAAAAAGGACACTAAAGGCCCGACCGACTATCGGGAACTATTGACCTCACTCATTTCCATTAAAAGATTACACACATTCACAGGCAAAAGGTAGTTCTCCCTAAATAAGAGCATTCACTAGCATCAGGGAGCGTTTGTGGCCTAACCCCGAAATTATGCGCGACAGCTTGGCTCTGCGTCTAAAACATTGCGTAAGCTGGCAATGTTCTGTGCTATCGCTAGATGATCGCGGTATTGTTTGCCGTTCGAGCCTTTAATCCAGTCCTGATACCGCTTGAGCAGAACTTTGGACTTGGAAGAACTCTTCGATGCCTGGACAGCCGCTGTCTTGACCCAGTCAATGACTTTGATTTTACTTCCATCCACCGTAGTCTCCGTATCATACAGGCTCACACCCTCGTATCTTTTTTGGAACTCTTGCTCCAAGTGGACGAAGTTATCTTCCCACCGTTTTGCCTGAACTGCCTCGAGAGCTTCCTTCGCGCTGGACAGTAGGTTCTTATCAATAGTTCGAACCTCGCGAGCCTCTTGAATACGGTTCGTCACCCTCGCCGACAAAGCCACGTGATTCAAATCATCTCCGTCTTTCCACACTTGGTTGATTCTATATTTGTGACCCCATTTCATGGCGGAAAATGTTTTATCTGCATCCTCGATAGGCGGTGAGGTTGTGTCTCCGGCCGGTATCACGGACAGCGATTTCCCTTCAGCGGCGGTAGTTTTGAGAAACTCGTTAAAGGTGCAAACTGTGCCGGTTGCAGGGCTGCACTCGTATGCGATGTATCTGTCGGATTCCGGAAACGCGGCGACCTCAATTTGGTAAGCGTAATAGTAGTACACCATCTCGAAGATTATTGCACGCTGGGACGCTTGTCCTAGGGCTGCCCAACAGAGGGCACTTAAAAACACATGGAAGAGCCTCATGATTGAACAAGACAATCAGAAAAGAGCGAATCATGAATGTATGTTTGCAGGCTTGAGGTATCCCGATGAATCAACGAATAAACAATCTGCTAAAGAGAGAACTCAAAGAAACAATAATGAATGGAGGTAGCCCTGAACAAGGAATCCTAGACATGGCGGCGAATTTGGGATTCTTATTGCACATCCTGAGCCCAAAGCACGAGGATTGTTGCACCCATGTTAGTCTCTTTGACCATGGGAAATTAGCTTTGATCATAGGGAAACATAACAATAGTGTCGGAAGATGTCCCAGCTGGGTAAAAGCATGTTCTGGAGCCATAGGAGATAGGGTCCGGCTGCGACTAATCGTTAGCGTGGACGTTAAGAGCGTTGTATAGTCATCATGAATTGGAGTCTAGTGGATAAAGTCTAATATAGCTAGTTGGCTTATTATTATCAAGCTAGTTTCATTCGAAAAGTAGGTGTCATTTCAGCAATGCCAGGTTGCCCTAAAAAAGCATCTACCTTGGTGCAATTGCGAAATCCCGCAAAATGGGCCACCTCAATTAACGCTATACAAGTCATCCGAACTTCTTGCCCGCACTAGGTGGCATTCAAAAAATATAAGAAGAGATCCACGTCAGTTCTTACTATCACAATCTCCTCTTTTCGTCCATTCCTTCTTCTATCAGTCCTACGGGTTACCGTTCTTTCCTCATTCTCTAGTCACTCTTTCCACAGCGTTTCCTCGGGTTTTTTGGGGCGCCGAAAGGTTTTCACTAGGTTACGTTCCTATTTTCTTATGCCCCCAATGGGCTTCGTTTTTCACATTCTCTTTCTTTTTGTTGCTCATGTTCATGCACGAGCAGTCTTTGCTCATTTCATGGTATACACTTTTCCCTCTACAAAAATCTAATTTCGTCCGGAACAAAACATTGATGTCTTAGTAGGTGTCTAACACGGAAGGCTACACTGTCGATGACTGGGAGGCTGAAATGGCCCTTGCCATTGAGGCAAAGATCGATGCTTTTGCACTCAACATCGCTGCGGGTCAGGCTGTGAATACTGCTTCCGTGGCAAATGCTTTCCTCGCTGCTGAGAACGCCGGCTTTTATCTCTTCTTTTCATTTGATTATGCTGGAAACGGCGCTTGGGATAAAGCTGATGTGATTGATTATATCAGCGCTTATAACTCCCCAAATGTGTACTTTTATTACAAAGATAAACCTTTTGTCTCTACGTTCGAGGGCCCTGCCAACGCAGAAGACTGGGTGGATATCAAGTCAGAAACAGGATGTTTCTTCATACCAGACTGGTCATCACTTGGAGCCATGGAAGCAATGGAGCAAGCTGATGGTGTCGCCGATGGGCTGTTTAGTTGGGCTGCCTGGCCAGATGGTCCTGCGGATATCGACACATACACCGATGCCTCTTATATAAACTACCTTGAGGGCAAGCCCTATATGATGCCTGTTTCGCCGTGGTTTTTTACTAACATGCCGGGTTACAACAAGAATTGGCTCTGGCGAGGAGACGACATGTGGTTCGATCGTTGGAACCAGGCATTATTCATTGCGCCGGAATTCATTGAGATCATTTCATGGAATGATTTTGGCGAATCTCATTATATCGGTCCGATAAAGTCATCAAATGATCCTCTAGCCAACAAGACATACACCGCCTTTGATACTGGACTGGCACCTTACAACTATGTCCTCAACATGCCGCATGATGGGTGGCGCGATTTCCTTCCCTATGTGATTGAAACATATAAAAACAACATATCTACCATCACCCAAGAAGGTGTGACTGGCTGGTATCGCCTGAATAAAGCTGGGGCCTGCTCTTCTGATGGAGGAACCACTGGTAATACAGCCAGTGAGCTTCAGGTTGAGTACTGGCCTTATGAGATTGTGCAAGACAAGATCTTCTATTCGGCTCTTCTCGGATCTCAGGCCGATATCACAGTGTCTGTTGGTGGCACTGACCTTGGGGCCTCATGGACCGCAACCCCCAGCGGTGATGTTGGGGTCTATCATGGCAGCGTGTCATTCTCTGGTCATTCCGGTGCGGTGGTCATTACTATTAGTCGCGGTGGTGCTACAATTGCCAGTATAGACGGTCAATCAATCTCGTCCGGTTGCGCTGCTGCTTCCGATATCGAAAATTGGAATGCCTGGGTTGGGAGCAGTATGTCCTCCAACACCATCAGTGTAACTCCAGCCACATCCCTTTCCAATGAGACATGTATCGAGGGTTGGGGTGCTGGCAATTTTCTCGGGCTCTGCTCCGCGGCCTGTTCTTGGGGCTACTGTCCGATCACTGCTTGTGTTTGTTCCAAACTCGGCCCGCCACCAACTGTACCGGAGGAGACAGGGGTCGAAGGCTATCCGATATCTGGCGAAGATGCTAGCTACAGTGGCCTGTGTTCGTTCGACTGCAATCATGGTTACTGTCCGAGTACTGCGTGCGGGACGGTCGAAGTAACTCTTACGGTTCCTACAGTGTCCGACTTCGCTGCGAAAGCATGCACGGCCGGTGAGGGCACTGGTGATTTCGTAAATCTTTGTGCCTTTGGTTGCGCACACGGCTATTGTCCCATCCATGCTTGCAACTGCACCGCGACTGGGACGCTCGACCTGTTCTCCGTGGTCAACAGCAGTGCCACAGCCCATCTGCTCTCTGGCGATGACGACTATGGTCTATGCGACTTTGCCTGCGAGCGTGACAGGTGCTATGACCAGTGCGAACTTGGCGATGCTTACTCAGATAGTGACGAGCTCTCCTGTACGGACGATGACACACGGTCCTGGTGCGAAGTGACCTCGCCGTGCAATTATAACCTGACTATATCTACGCTGGAGGACCTGGACATCCAAAGTGCTTACATGCAGGATGAGTGCATCTCATACTATATGTTGACCGTGTTGTACAATTTGATTGACGAAGTGGTGGCAAACTATACGGAGATTATGGCCGACAACAACTACAACAAGACCCTGAAGTACTACAAGGAATACGTCGAGAGTAATATCACATCCACTCTCGCTAGTGTCATGGAATGGGCACCTGCCGGACCGGGCTTGTCTTACTTTGACTGCGTCATCGAATGGAAGGGCAAGAACGAGTCCGCGACAAGCTGTCCCAACTACAGCGCTACTGGAGTTTTCAACGTATACTATGAGGTCAAGAACTCCACGGAATTCGAGGAAATGCTACTGGAGGACTACGGCATCCAGCCCGACTGGTTCAAGTACGGTACCGAGAAGGACTCCTATCTCTGCGATGGAGAGAGTATCCTGGCCCCTTCGTGCCATGACTCTGTCGTCACATATATAAACATACCCAAGAAGGCCGACTATGTCAACATCACCGATCCCCGGGTAGTGGTCGAGAAAGCCCTACCAAATCTGGACAACCTGCAGGCCAACATCCTCGCGGTACAGCTGCAGATCTTGCTGGGATCTTGGCCCGGTTTCACGGACGACATCGTACAGAGTATCTCATTTGCGGTGGAGCTTCTCCTTCAGGCAGTCAGTTCCATGCAAGAAGTCGTGGCAATTGGGAAGGCAGAAGAAGCCTGGAAGAAAAAGGAAATGATTGAGGATATCATCAGCGCCATCTTCCTGGCTATTCCTTTTGTTGGCGAGGCAGACGCTATCAGTGATATATTCCTGGATGTGTCCCGAGTTGCGACAGTAGTTGGAGACACTGCTATTGTGGCTGATAGTATCTATGAGATTGTGGAGGATCCTGACAATCGTGTCGCCACAATTTTGACAACTCTCCTTCTGGTTGGGCAGCGCTCTGCAGAGGAATACGGAACTATGGCCGCAGCCCGGCGAGATATCCCGGATGAGACTATAGAATCTCTTGGGCCGGTCTTTAAGGAGAAAAATACTCAGATCGAGAATCTAGTCAAGGACTGTGCGGCTGCTTAGACCTAGACTCATGAGTGAACAGAATGTGTTTCATTAGGACAGATCCCGTGATTGTTACATGAAATCAGCAACAGCTCGCAAACCTTTGAATAGCAGATCCTTTCTATAGCACTAAACCGGTAGCCGAGTCAGACCTGAACTTAGTTGAAACAATTTCTACGTAGTCATCATCCTATGCTTCGTGCCAAGCAGACTCGCCATCAGAAACTTTACTATGTGATCCGTAGTTAGCATTTTAACTTCTTATGCTTCATTCTTCGGACAACTACCTGCAAGATGTGCCAACTAGTAAGTATTCCCACCAAAACAATGGCTAACAGGGTGGTATTTGCTACTGCTTCCGCACAAAATGCAGAACTGATCAAAGTCTGCTCTTATAGATATGACCCGGCAGAATGTAGTCCTTCGCCTTGTAGTGTGATGAGGGATAAGTTCCGGATTTCTAACAACATCACTCTATTCACATTCAAGTCCATCATTCAAGATATATACTAAAATTGTGAATGGGGCGGTGCCGCCCTCCTAAAGCTTTCGGTATTGATATCAGCCCAACATCTGATGATAGGCAGATCTTGTCTCCTCATGTTGATACACCAGATATGGTCGTGCGCTGAGTATACTGAACCTTTTATATGATAGGACATTCACTATATTATCACACGTGATACTATATGTGTTACTTGAGAATGTCTGAGCCAGATGAAGACCGCAAGTAATTATGTAGTTTTAACATTAGCTGATTACTTGATATATAGTCGGAATTTCAAGTCCTCCAATAATAATTTATCCTTCTCAAAGAACAACACACCCTCATATTGTCCTTCAAATAAACCCCAGTACTCCAATTGTTCCATTGCGTCTAGACACACATCATCCTTTGTTCGCTCGGTATGTTTCTCGGCATTTTCAAGATTCACAATAGAACTGTAGCAAGTCATCGGGAATCCGTATGATAAATCAAGGGGGGTCACGTACCATTGTCCACTTTGGAGCTCCCACATAATATTTTCTCTTCGTGGATCCCAATGAGTGAAATGGCGGGACTGCAGTTCCCTGTAGGTCCGTTAGCAGGGCTCTAAT